CTGAACTATTCTACTGAAAAGGCATTTAAACTCAAAACTGTGAACACAGCTGACTTACATGAATCCACCAACACTTTCATCAGCTTGCAGCACCTTTTTGCTGCATTGATCTTACTTAGATTTTAAATTCTTCTGATCAGAAAGGTGAGATCACCTGGCCATCTCAACTACCACAGGATGAGGCACCAGTAGACATTGTACATGCTGCTGTAATACCAACCAGAATGCAGCACCAGACCCCAACACTACAGAGAGGTGGAGGCTGTACCTGGGTACCAAACCCTCCTGTCTGTGTAATTAACCCCATACAAGCCACTGACAGAACAGGAAGGTTGTGCCATTTTGGTGGCATGGATCTCAAGGGACACACCCGAAGGGCAGAGCAAGGGGATCCACAGAGAATTTTCAGCAGGACTTAACATGATACCACAGTGGAGGTCAGAGCATATTTGGCCATCCTGCCCTCACTAGGAAAAATTCCTTTCAAAGCATTAAAATTCTAACACGCTGTTTAACACATTAATTTTTTTTTTCTTTTAAAGCTGTATCCAGTTTGCACAGATAGAAGAAACCCTGTTCTCTGCTCTCCCTCTCTCCACACTCTTCCTCCTCCTGGGGGACCCGGGGGAGCAGCAGCAGCTGCTGGTTTCTAACAGCCACATAACATTCCTGACAGAAGGAGCCTGTTCAAGGACCTGCACGGAGATACCACACCAGAGAAGGAAAAAGGTAGGCAAGAGCAGCAGTGCCCTCCCTGCCTGTGGGTGGGAGGAATGTACCTAAGGCAGAGCCAGAGCCTGAAGTGCTAGGAAGGGGCAAGAGGCAAGGAAAAGCATCTTAAAGCTGTAGTGAAGTTAACAGCAGAGGCAATTTGCCCAAAGGTGCTTTTAAAAACCACAGGAAAAGATTTATGTTTTCCCTGTGTAATGTGGCTTTTCCCCCTTTTCCAAATAAACTAAGTTAACAACAATGTTTTGACTATTTCCAAGCACGTTCTGGAAAGTCAACCACCCCTCGACCTACCCAGGTAGAAGTTGCTAAATGTTGGAGTCCACAGCTCCTGAGAGCACATGCCAAGGATCTGGGTGGCCACACCACACTGGCTCCTGTCCAGCATTTTCAAGCTGTGCAGAAATACGGTTGAAAACGTTAAATATTCTCCCAATATTTTCGATACAAACAATCCCCACAGCCTCCAGGAGGACATTTCAGTTGCAGAGGGGAAGGGCACACGGCCAGGAGATACTCTGACACAAGAGGTGTCCCACATTACAGTCCAGTCTTAAAGAGGGAAATAAATCACTACCCATCATCACCTGCACTAACCTGACTGTGGAAAGCATCCTTTCTGTCCATCAAGGCAATGACAACCAAAAAAATAATGATGTGCCCCACACAGCCACACCTCCTGTTAGAGTAGGTAAGGACAAACCCCCCAGTGCAGATTAGTGTGATGCAGGGAGCTTGGATGACTCAGTGTGGTCCCCTGCAACCTTACCCATTCTGTGAATCTGTGATTCTACAAACCACCAAGAAATATGCCATGACAACCGAGCCAACACAACCAAAAGACCACTTTTGAAGTGGCACGCAAGTTTTGTACAGCAGATGGCTGACAAGGCAGCCATTTAAAAGGGGAGGAAGAAAAAAAAAAAAAAAGGAGCCAACCCACCCCAGAAGGCAGAAGTGCTCTCTGCCATCCTCAGATCCATGTGAAAACACAGCATGAAGCTGAACACGTCCCGAAGCACCCGCTTCTGTCCCACTGAACTTTTGACCTGCTGGCGGTAGCTGAACCCCTCCTGAGCCCATTGCCGGGTGATGCTGCCGCAGCAGAGATTCAAAAAGAGGAACCCAGGCGCCTGCATCTGCCAGAGCCAGCCTGAGGGCCAGCTGTGCCCACCCCCTCCCCAAACAATGCCCAGAGTCCAGCCTGATGGATGCTCCTCCTTCTCCTTGGACACCCCTTCCCCTGCGGTCTCTGGCTCTGCACGGGTCCAGCAAAAAGAAAATGAAAAAAACATTTGATTCCCAGGTTTCTGCCATCCAGCTGCTGATGGCAGTCCCACATCTGGAAGCCTGGAAGCTTCACCTTCTTTTGAGCCAGGAAGTATAGGGTAAAGGGTTCGCATTTAAAAAGTGAAAAGGGGAAAAAAAAAGAGCTCCATTCTGCCTCTCTAGACGACTAAAGGCCCCAAACTTCTCAAATACCCTCATCAAATCTGCTCAGCACAGGAGGGATAGGTCCAGATGGCCTATCATTACAGAGCCTTCCAGCTCCTATGGAGAAACCACCAGAAGAAAAAAAATATCAGGGGGGAAGGGGGGGGATATGAGGGTAAAAAAAAAAACCAAAAAATACCCAGAGCTTTTTTAAAATGACCAATAGAACACCACAAATTGAAAGATCAGGTTTTGTCTCATTTGAGGACTGCAGGGATGGTAGCAGTGAAACCTAAACCTGACCTGCCTGCTGAAATTGGAGGGAGAGTGAGAGCAGGGGATATTTGTTTCGAGCAGAATTAAGGCTTGTTCAAAACTTCTGCCTTTTGTAAGGATGTTGTAAGAGTTTAGCAGCAAATTCCCTCCTGGAGATACACAGGTATCAGAAAAACAGCAAGAAAAGCGCCACCAGCCAGAATTTAAGCTCAGAGGAGCTCACACCTCCTAGGAAGAAGAGAAAATCCAAGAAGAGACAGCTGCATCCAGTGTAAGGCCATCCCTTGGAGAGACTGGGCAGAGCTGGACAAACATCAGCTGTGAAGCTCAAGGGGTTTGAGCCTGAGCATCCTCCAGCTGAAACCCTCTGAGCATGAGAGCTCCATTTTTCCTTCTGCATTCACAGAGTCACTCCAAGCACCCGTTTTACTCTGTGCCCACATGCACTGGGGCAATCACCCAGGGTTACTCGTGAAAAGCAGTAACTTCTGAGGGAAGGGGCATACCCCAATCCATTGGTGTTCAGCCCCAAGCACACCTTTCCACAATTACCAAAGCAAGAAAACATCATTCATACACGAGCACAGATTCACTTTTTGATGGATAGCTACGGTTTTATTTCCACCTAAAATTGTTTTAAATCCTGGCATCTCCACAAACCCCTAGAAGAATAGCCACTTCCATTTTATTCAGACACCCCTGAAACTCAGGCATGTCTCAGAGGTAGCAGTGAGACCAGCCAGTCCAAAACCGTGGAAGAAATCTTATTTATGCAGATAAATAAAGCACAAATAAAGCAACAAAAAACAAACACAGCAATACTGTTAGGAAAAAGTGTAACTCCAATCGCTGGCTATTGGTTTCAGACTGTGAATTATTTGAGAGAGCTCTTTGTGCAAAGATCTGTTCCCAGACATCCCCGAAACCAGCGGTGAGAGCGGAACAGCTACACCAGGCAGAGAGGAAAGGAGATGGTGAGCTTCAAGGAGCAGCAACTTTTGAAACTGCTGGTGCTGCTCACACTCTGGCGGAGAAGGAAATTCACTCCACGTGCCCGAAAGGAGCAGAGCTCTGACAGCCGCATCCCGGTTCTACCCGCAATTCCCACCGCCCCTCGGACGAACGCCATGCCTCAAAACCCATTTCTGCCACGGGCTGCGGCCATCCACGTGCACGGAGCTTTTCGGACCGTGTTTTCGGCGTGCTGCTTCTGCTCCGCAACACCCCCAGCACCAACGCGCCCGCACTCCTCCTCCTCCTCCTCCCGGGCATCCCCCCCCAAAAAAGCAAGTTAATTTGTTCCGAGTGATGATGTTAACTCCCCCAGCCTAAGCGTGCTCCGCGAACCAAAGGGGAGCCCACATTTACTTCATTTGTGAAGCAAGCCAGATGCTAATTGCCTCCAAAGGTGAAAGGCTAGTGCCTTGGCCCTTTTATCATTGTAAATTCAGGTTCCTTCAAGACTTTACGCTGCTGGGCCCGGAGAGCCTCCCCCTTTAATGGTTTGGCATCAATAGGAGGGGGAGGGGAGTTCTCTTTCGCAAGAAGTTGCATCATTGAGAGATCTTATCCCCTTTCAAGATTTCGTGCCGCATAAGGGATTCCCCCTCTTCAGAAATCCACATCCTGCTCGAGGAGTTTTTTGCTCTTTGGGGCTTCGCGCATCTCATTGAACTTTTAAGCATCTTTGGAATTCGCATTCACGGGGCAATTACTGTCTTTAAAAAACACACGCCACCACGTTATTCACCCGGTTTATTGCCAACGCGCTGGCAAGAATAGCTTTTCACGGCAAGCACAAAAGATTTCCTACCAGGACACACTTTGTTTGCAACATGTGTAGCCGGCGCGCAAAATATTTACGGGGCATTAGCGGCGCGCATGAAAATAAGAATTAAAATCATAGAAAAAAAATCATAGGAAAAAAAAAAAAAAAAAACAAACGAAGTAAAATCCGGACAAGAAAGTTGCGAGAGAAAACGGGTCAGAAGGTAGGAGCGCTCGCTCCGCGGGGCACAGGGGCGGCGGTGAAGGCACCGTCGGTGCCCCGGCGGCTCCGCTGAGCCGCACAATGAGCGGCGCGCTGCCCCGCGGAGCGCTCCGGCCTCGCCGGGATGCGGCAGAAAGGCTCGCCAGGACCCGGCCAGGTGCGGACCCCCACCCGCAACAAAAGGAGCCGAGCCGGGCACAGCTGAGCGGGCTGGGCAAACCCGCCCAGGAGCAGCGCCCAGGGGAGCCGGGGGGCTACCGGGCCGGGCCCGCCTCTGGCCGCCACCATTTTGGGCACGGCGGGCTCCGTGCCGCGTCCGTCCCCCCGCCACCTTTGTGTGCGGACACCGGCCCGGCGGAACAATGCGCGGAGCCGGGGCGCCGCCGCCGCCCGGCACCGGCGCGCCGAAAGTTTGCGAGCGCGCCCGGCGGCCGCGGGGAAGTTGCCGGCGAACGCCCCGGCGGGATCCCCGCGAAGGGGGCAGCGGGAGCGGCGTGCGGGACCCGCCGGGCAGCGGCAGCGCGGCGGCACAGCGCGGCGGGACGCGGCGCGGCGTCCGCGGGCTCCTCACCTCGATCTCGAAGTCCGGCAGGCGGAAGGCGGTGCGGAAGAGCGAGCAAAAGTGCGCGATGGCCGGGACTTCCCACCAGGAGCGGAGCTCGTCCAGCGCCGCCGCCTCGGGGCCGCCGGTGCCGGCTACGCTGCCGCCGCCGCCGCCGCCGCAGCCGCCGTCCTCCTCCGGCCTGCTGCTGCAGTACCTCGTGGAGGAAGCGCCAATGGGAAGGCGCGATGGGGAGGGAGGCGGGGCGGAGAGGGCCCGGCGGGGCGGGGGCAAAAGGCGTGAGGGCGGGGCGGCGCGCGGCCGTGCACGAGGAGGGGGCGGGGCCCGCGCTCATCACAACAACAGGCCCCCGGCGCCCGCCCGGCCACGCCCACAGGGGCGGGGCTAGCGCGGGGGGCGGGGCCTGTGGCTCCCTCAGGCGGCTCCGCCGGTCCCGGTCCCGGTCCCGGTTCCTTGGCTGGCACCGGCCGCTGCCGGGGATGGCTCCTGGTGCAGCGAACCCCTGGGTTTCTGCTCCCACTTTGTGTCTGCGAGTGAGGGAGCCCAAGCGGCGCTTCTTCTTCTCCGCGTGCGGCTGCCGTGAGGAGCCGGATACGCTCCTGTGGCCTGGGACACCTCTGTGTGTCACCCACACTCCCTGTCCCCATTCCTCCTGTGCCCTGGGACACCTCTGTGCCACCCACAGCCTGGTCTGTGATATGCCCTTTCAGGAGCAGCCTGAGGGGAAAATGCATTGCAGATACCCTGCTCTGACTCCGAGGGAAAGGCTGGTGGCATCAGTCAGTGCCATCCTATTGCTGCTGACATGAAGCAGTCTGAGTTCAGAGTCCCCGACCTGAGACCTCTTCCTCTCCCTTTTTCCCTTCAAAATGAACATATCAACAGAGAACAAGGTGAAGGTATAAGCTCTGTGCAGTGTCTCAGGCCACTGCCTAACAGCCCGACCAGGGAAAACTGGCTGAGGATGGGAACAAGCTAGTTTAGAGAAAAAAGAAATCAAGGAGCAGCAGCGTGGCTCAGCAAGAAGGAACAAGCTCTAATTTCATTGCTCTTTTTCCTATTGCAGGATCAAGGGATACCAGGGAAATTGGAAGGAAGCGAATTTAAAATGGTGCAAGGAAATATTTGTACCATGTGTAATTAACACATGGCATTTGTTACCACGAGGTTTCATTGAGGCCAGGAGATTAGCAGGATTCAGAAAAGGATTAGACATTTATATGGATACCAAGAACATTCATGGTCACATTAGACAGGATATAAATAAATTTTAGAAGGGATATAAACTGTCAGGCTTCAAGGCACAATATAACCACTAACCGATGGCGAGGGATTAGGGAAAAACTTCCCTTGTGGGCGGGTTATTCTATAATTGTCCACTATGGGGTTTCTTGCACCTTTCTTTGAAGTATCAGAGGGTAGCAACTGTTGGAGTGAGAAGCCTGGATTAGGAAGGCTACCAGGCTCATCTGGTGTGTCAACTGCTGTGCTCTTTGGGGGTCTGTGAGGGTCACTTGAGAAATGGCATGGCTAAGAGGATGGCACAGGAGGTGTCATCAGACTCCTGATTTTTATTCAGACACAAACCTTGCTTTCCTTGTGTAAATTTCACACAGAGAATAGAGTTCCTATGCCTTCCTCACCAAGGTTTTTACCAAAATGTACTCTATTTTTTAAAGTGGTTTGTTAGTTATCTTTCTAAGTTCAGCCTTTGCATCTGTTTTCCCTAAAAGCTTTTGACTTGGTTCATTTATTGTTTGAAGGAGACCAACACGCTATACTGAAACCCTGCCTGTGTTTCAAGGCACAATGACTGCAAGACTTGGTCTTGAGCAAGACAGAATCTGATCTCTTGTGTATTGTGTCTGCCTGCACTGGATTGAGCCAGCTCCAGCTCCCTGCAGTAACTGGGAGAGGAGAGGGCAGGCCAGCTCAGGGCACTTTGTCAACATGCAGGATCACTATAAAATACCAACAGTCCTGTGTGAAAGATCTAGAGGTGACAAATCCTCAGGCACACTTTCCTTTGGGCTAGTCACAGAATTCTACAATATTACCTAATGCTCAGTTCTTCCACAGAGCTAACTTTTGGTGTTTGTAAGGGGAGTTTATGTTGCATTTCTGTCTTGCTCTCTGCTGACATTCCTCCCTGAATTCCTGCAATGTCCAGCTGTGCCTTATCTTACTGCTGCATCTTTGCTTGTTCTTGACACTGGGTCAAACAGCTTTGTAGTATCCCCACTCTCTACCCTGCTAAGAACTTTGTGAACTTTAAATGAAGACCCCTAATCCCTCTTTTTGTCAGAAGAGCTACGGTACCAATTTTGCCTAATGTTTTTCTGAATTAATTTGGCTCCCTCTATCGTCCCCATTATTTCTGTTGGGCTGTGTTTTCTCTTATATTGTTCTTTTTATTCCAGGATGCTAGGGGCTGCCCACAATCACTTAAGGTTGCTTCCTTTTTCTAGATTCTTACACTGCTCTTAAAAGACTTCTTTAAACTTCTTATTCAAGCACAAAAAGCTCTGCTCTCCCACTGCTATTCAACAGTAGGCAGAGACTTGGTGAATACACGATGGCATTTCCTCTTCTTTGATCCCTGTGCTCCTTCTCTTCCAAGCCACCTTTGGCTATGAGTTTCCTGTCCACAACTAACAAAACCAAAGCCTGCTCTGGCCAGTGTCCTTTCCAAATATGCTATATTCTTCCTCTGATCATTTTTTTTCCCCTAGGCTGCTGTTAAGACTTTCTCCTACCACTGATTTTTTAGCTCAATATCCAGTCCTGGCTGCTCTCTACCTTCCATACTTACACTCCTCCCCTGTCTTTGTGCTTTTTCTCATCCTTTCTTCCCAAACTGGCTGAAGGTTCAGTCCTTGTACCATGTAGAGCCACACTGAGCTTGATGGACCCAATCAAAACCTCTTGTTTTCATTGTTCAAGGTCCTCTGTGGATTTGTGAGCTCACTTTCTGGAGGAAAAACAAACAAACGCAACCGAACAAACCCAATTCAAAGTGCCAAAAGCAAATTTTAAAAAAGGTTGTAGAGTTGCAGGGACTGCATGTCCCCATTTGTATATGACAAATCATTTAATCTAGGAACAAAAAGAAGGGAGGAGTGTTTTCCACTTTCTCCAGAAACACCTGTCACCTGTGCCTGATCTAAAGCTTGAATGTAATGCTAGGTTGATGACAGGTAGATCTCTTGTAGCCTGCCTCTGAAAGATGATAGATTACTGGCAGGCACAGGGCAGTTCCTCACCAGCTGAAGTGATATTACCATTAATAAAGATCTCTTTTAAAAGAATTCTTAACTTCCTTGCATTTCCACCAGCTGGCTTTCAGCTAAAGCCCAGTGGACTATGTTCCTATAAACTAGGTTCAGGAGGAGCTGCAGGCTTCCCTTGTAAGGAATCATAAGGAAGAAAAACTTGCAGAAGGACCAACCAAATCTCAGATTCTGTTCTTACTGGGAGCATGTTCTCAGGACTTGGCTCTGGGAAGTTCAAGTTTTCTTAAATCAGGGGAAATTATTTAACAATAGATAAAGCCTAACATTTCTGTTCCTTCAAAACAGAACTTTTGCATTTCTGGCTGTGAAAAGCTTCATCTCCCTTTTCTAACCTGTCTGAATTTTACTGCTTCCTTCTTTGTGTTGACCTCCCTCAACAATCTAACACCATCAACTCTCACTGCCTTCCCTTCTTTTTGCTGAGTTATGAAGTAGAAGACAGATGTGATTTAGCTACCTACTTTCACCCCAAGCTACTTCTACCTTCTAGGATTCATATTTTGATCCATCTTCAAGTCCCTTGTTTCCTTTTCAATGCCTCCTGAGCAAAGAGGTTTTTTTTGTTTCCATAGCACAGTGGAAAAGCGATCCTGAACAGAGCAGAGGCTGCAGTATTTAGCACTGGCTTTGAACCCTGGATCTGCTTTTCCTACTCAAAAAACAAATCAAGGAAACTGAGGCACAGTGAAAAGAAAGGCACAGATTTTTCTGGGTAGTGGTAGAGCCGGAATCATGGAGGCAGCCAGAGGGATCACAGAAGAGGTGTGGAAGCAGATGAGAAATTTTGCTTCTTTTAACTAAACAAGGAGAGTCAAGAGAAAAAAAAAGCCATATTGCATTTTGATAATTACTTCTTTTGAGCCACTAGTTATGATTTCCTAAGAAGTAGGGAAAGCAGTGGCACACAAGGGGCCGACATAAGAGGCATGAAAGCCAAGAGGAGTGGTTGAAAGAGAGCAAAACAGATTTGAAATAGAGGACAGCATTGCAGTCAAGAGACTGTGTAGGATGAGAGACACAAGGGAAGCAGGGAATGAGAAAAACTGGTAAATACTCTGGGAAGGGGAAGTAAATACTAATACTAATTAGCAGGGAGTAAGGAAAAGTCTGTAGTCACAAACACTTGTGGAGTGGAAGAAGCTGGAATACTGTGAAGGAGAGAGAAAGAGAAAGAGAGGGATAAGCTGAATAAACCAAGAAATGCACAGTGAAGGCAAGGTCTGCTGGTCAATGGGACACTGCAGGGCTGATTAAGAAGTTGAGGTGAGGAAGGTAGAAAATGTGCAGTCTCAACAGCCTAACAATGTGAAGGTTTAAGTTATCAAAAGAAAAGAGGAGGGAGTCAATAGAAAGGAGAGCCAGTTGTTCAGGCAGAGAATAGAAAAGAGATGGGTGGGTGCAGACAACAGCTGTGAAATGGAGGCATGAGAAAGAACAGGGACAGTGCTGGAAAGCGTGGGAGACAGGAATTGGAAACAGAAGTAGAACAAGAGGAAAGTGGCATTCCCACTGTTTTTGGCATTGTGGTGCAGTGAGCCAGCTTGCACAGGTCTGGTGCTGAAGTTGGATGTGTGGTATCAATGCACTTACACTTCAGCTGCCACCAACAGGGCTGCAGGTTTAGCTGGGACACAAACACTTCTCTCCAGCTTTGAGTCACCAGGTTTTCCATGATTCCTGCAGCCTGCATCCTCAGCAGTGTGGGTTTGAGGTTCACCTGCTGGAGAACCTGTTGCTTGGCTGGAATGCACTCTCCAGCTCCTCAGGCACAGACATGTTATGTCATGGACACTGCAGTTGTGAAAGATCTATTTTTTGTCTCCTGGATGTACACATTCCAGTTGTCCAAGGTGAAAGCAGCCACTCTGAGAACCTGACCCAGCATCTGAGAATCTGATAGATTACCTTTGCAGCATCCCAGATGTTTACTCCACAACACTATTTTGAGCTGAACAAACCACTGGAAAGGAGAAGTAATTTCACATTACTGAAGTGTAGCCACACTTTCCATGAAGCAAAGCAGCAGTTGCACATATCACCATTGGTTTAGGCAGAAAACTAGCAACATTGGGCCTCTTTAGCTTGCATGGACTCTCTTCCCTGAAAAGCATCTCTCTACTGGGAATTTGGCTAGCACTGATGTGGCAAAACACCCTCCATCAAGGCTCCTCTCCTGTGTGCTTTACTGAACTACATATCAAACCAACAGATCTAAGCCTTAGGTCTCAACAGATTTTCTGTTCCTAACCCATTGGGGCTGAAAACCACAGGTTGTAACTTGATGTTTTGTCCCCTAGAGAGCAATCAACAGGCGAATGATAATTTGTGGCAATGGATTTGAAGCCAGGGAACGTGGATCTTTCCCCAAAGAGCAGCAGCAGAGAGGGGCCCTCTGCTGTGTGGGGGTTTGTTTGTGGCCATCCATGCTCACAGCTGCTGCTGGGTACATCTGGCACAGAGATGAGTCAGACACGGGCTGGCTTGAACAGAATGAAGATGGGGAGACAGCGATCTGCCCTGGAAACCTCACTGGGAAGCAGAGTGGAGACACAAAATCCCCTATGCTTCTGTGCCTCCCCAGATCTGCTGTCTCTGCTCCTGCTGACCACAGCTATTCCACAGGCAGGCAGCAGCATTTGGGCACAAACAAGGAGATGTTTAATTGTTTCCAGAGCAGCAGTTAGTGGTGCTGATATGTGTGCTGCGTGCTCCAGGACTGGCTCCTGCCGCCTGCAGCAGTGAGAGGCTCTTTGGGACTCACCAGCACAGCCTGAGCTCATCCAGCTCAGGAGTAAAGCACTCACAGGCAGAGGGAACAGCCCCAGACAAATGCAGAGGGTGCTGCACAGCAGGGCAGTGCTCCATGCATGGCAGCGTCCTCATCAGTCACTCCAGCAGAGATGGTCTGTGTTCCTAGAGGGGAATTCAAATACCATTCTGCTTACAGCACAACAACTCAGGTCTCTGCTCAACACCTTCTTAGATGGGGATTAGTGGTGTGTGAGCAGAGTTGGCTGAAAGTCTCTTTGTGGTAACCAGCATTTTGCAGTCTGGACCTGAAGTGGTGATGTGAGGGAAAGCTGTACTTGTGTGAAGCTGCTGATCTCACACACTGTGAGAAGTGCTGAGCACCAACTGCACTCAGGAAAGTGTTTTCTGCTCTGTGCTGGTGCCAGGATTGTGCTCCCCACCGAGGTTTCTGGGCCAGATGCAGTGCTGGTGTGAACCACTAAGCCCATACAGATTAGAAATTGTCTGGCTGTGTGCACACCAATGCCTGCAGCTGTGGTGGGGTTGGAAAGGCAAAGCCCGGGGTGGTTTCAGCCAACACAGCCTTTCCAAAGCTTCATTTGACACCCACCTGCCAGTTGCTTTTCCTGCTATGCTGCTTCTGTGGGGAGTGCTAACTTGTTGTGACTTCACCAGCCTCCCTTTCCAACATCACCAATGCCTCCACACTTGGCTGCTGCATTTGGCTAGAGAGATATTCTAAGCCCATTCCTTCCACAGCAGTCAGCAGAAATTGCAAGTGATTGATCTCTAAGTCTTGCTAAGGATGGGCTACCAGGCTGTGCTGATGCATGGGCCTAGAAATAAGGCAGAGCCTCACAGAGGGCTGAGCAGCCATCCAAACATTAGCAGGACTGAGTCATGGCTCCAGCTCTTTCACTGAATTATTCTGTGATGTGAGTAGATCAATTCAGGTATATTTTCCTCATCTATAAAATGGGAACGGTCATGTTTAGATACCTCAGGGAAGTTGCAAGACTTAATTAGTTAATGCTAGTGCCTGGCCAGTTCTCGTTACCATCACATGGTATCTGTGTTCATTGCTCTGAAATTGTAAAATTCTACTTACATGCTAAACATTATTATTCTACATGAGGTGCAGTGACTTAATCCAGTTTCTCTGGAAATACCAAGGGGAGGGAGTTGACAGTCCCAGTATTGGCTTTAGTGTGAGGTCTGCCTTACTTGTAGAAAAATCTCCCTGACATATAACAAAAATAATTTATTTCCAGAGTCCTAATGTAGTTGCTCTTGAAACAGTTAAGCTGCACTATTACTGGTTTACTTAATTCAGTATGTGTAAATAAATTCACCAGGGATAAACCTAATTTAAACTGGTTTAGACACAATGTTGGTTCCAGCGTCAGGGAAACAGAACAAGGTCCATGAAAGATTTTCAAAACCTGTCAAGTCACTTGGAGGAAAGTGACTGTAGGCAGCTTGAAATGGGGGACGGCTGGCAGATTCATGGACTGAAGGGATTTTAGGTGCCCAGCCTCAAAAAAAAAAAGAGCTAGTGACTAATCCAGTGAGTCATCTCCAGACCTTTCCCAGAGCAGTCCTGCTTGTAACTGGGGAGTTTTGAGTTTTGACACTCAGCTTTTTCTGTCATGGGTTAGGAGAGCCCGGATGCCCACAGGAGCACAGTCTTGAACCTAGGGGCTGCTAGAAAAGACCTGAGATGCTGAAAGTGGGACAGGGCTGCCTGCACCCCTTGTCACCCCAGGCTCTCCAGCAGCTGTGTCAGCTGGGGTGGGGGGCCTGGACAGCCAAGGGCTGACAGCAGCCTGGCAGAGGCAGGCTGCTCCTCCCACTGCATTTCCACAGGGGCTGGACAAAGGCTTTGCAGGTACCACTTTCATCCTCCAAGGCACCAGAATCACATCCCTCTACCTCAGCCCGGTACTCAGCTCAGAAATTCAGCTCAGTGCCCCCCCAGGGCTGGATGCAGCCACACAATGGCAGTGGCTGCTCAGCTCTCTCTGTCAGCAGCCCAGTTTAAACCAGCAGTGCAGAAGTGGAAAGAAGAGACCTGCTTGCACTGTCAGTGACACTGTCATCCATTGATGACACTGTCCTCCATCTGGCTCACTGTCAGCAGCTCTCACCAAACACCTGAGGCTCAGCTCTAGGGGTTCCCATGCAAGCAGGATATCAATACAAGCTGTGGTGCTCCTTACGGTTAGGCAGGAAGGATGCTGTAGGCTCCTGAACAGAGATCTGATAAACAGATCACAGTCTTGGCCAGAAGAACCTCTAGGTTCCTGTTCCCAGCTCCCCAGACAGCTCTGCCAGTGCACTTCTGCTTTTCCCTGAGTTCAAGATGAGGATCCTGCTGCAAACCACCTGCCTGTGGTGGAACGGCTGCTCCTGTGGAAGCACTGACTTGTTTTAAACCTGTGACCCGATGAAAATACAAGTAAATAGGAGAAATTGGCAAGAGAAGGGCCAGCTGATTTATTCCTTATTCTGCACTTAATAGCTTTCGAGGTTTGGGTTTCCCACACCCAGCCATCCTGGTTCACCTTCATGTCTAAGCCTCCTTTTCCTGCTGGGAAGAGAAGGATGTATGCCAGCAGCTCTGTCTGTGTGCCCCAGCCCCCAAGATACCGTCTGCCCTGCTAGACCGTGGCACCAGAAAAACCCCAACCACTCCAAGTTAATCACCCAGATCAACAATCGGATTTGCAAAGTCCTCAGCACCCAGCCACCCTGCAGTTATCTGCCCTGCCTGCTCCCAGGGGCCACTCCCAGCAGTGCAGGAAAATGGGGTGACTTTGCTGGCAGCTGGGTCACCCTACTTTGTGCTCTTGTGAGAGCAGAACCTGCCCCCAAGCCCCAAAATGTGGCAGGAAGGGTTCGATTTATACATCCAGACAGAGCCCCACAGGGAACAGCCATATGGAAATAAAACCTATTATGCTTTACAATTAGAGAGGGGGAAAAGCTTAGGGTTAAAATATGAAGTGGCCAAGCTATTAACCTTCTCATTTAGAATGAATGGTCACTAAATTACAGGGCACATCTCCCTCCTCCTCCAAAGAACGGCCTTATGAGGAGTAGCTGAGGGTATTCAGCCTGGAGAAAAGGAGAATCAGTGGGGACCTTATCACCCTCCACAACTATCAGAAAGGAAGTTATAGCAAGGTGAGTTTTGGTCTTTTTTTTCCAGGTAAAAAATGATGTAACAAGAGGAAATGGCCTCAAGAAGTTTAGATTGGATATTAGGAAAAATTTCTTCACCAAAAGGGTTGTCAAACACTGGAACAGGCTGCCCAGGGAAGTGGCTGTGTCACCAGCACTGGAGATATTTAAGACACGTAGATGTGGCACTAAGCTTGGCAGTGCTTGGGGCTTGGGTTTGATGATCATAAAGGTCTCTTCCATCCTAAATGATACTGGTCCATTACATGGACAATAAAACATAATTCATCCTGTCCTGAAAATATGATCAAATCCTGGCAGTGAGCCACAGCTGAGCCTGAGGGGGCTAAGAAACTTAAATCAGAGAACCAGAAAATCAGGCAAACAGCAAATCCCTCCACCACCTCTTGTCACCACAAACACCCAGCTAGCGTTTGTGTTCCTAGCAGTGACACAAAATGTGCACCCTTACCTAGACTCCATGGGGGGAAAGCTCAGTTTCCACAGGGAAAATGTGCATTTGTGGGGTGGGGGGAAGGGGATGGAGTTTCTAGAGATCCCATCTTCTAAGAGGCAATGTTGTACATAGATTTCAGCCAGTCCTGGTGGTTAAAAGTCTCTTTGGCAGTGTTTGGGCACAGTGAGAGATGTGGTAGAGAAGTGCTCTCTCACCCACCTCGGGTGGGAGATTTATGGTGCAGGATTTATCAGGCCTCTTTCTAATTCAGAATCTCTGAACAACTCCACCCTCATCTTTCCAAAGCAAGTACTTTGTTCAACTGATTTTTTCTTTCCCATGAGAGAGGGCTACCATTTGTCTGAAGCAGCATCATAGAAATCGAGTTGAAAGCAAAACCAAGCAAAAATTCATTTAGCAAAACATTCAGATACCATTACAACAGGGATATTAATTATAAACCAACCAGACAACCAAAATTCCCCTGCAGCCTTTCCAACCCCAACTCTGAAGACCATTCTGGGGAAGATTAACAAACAGAAAGAAAAGCAATGATGACTTGAAATAAAAGAGAAACCAGCCAAACCAATTCCTTTGATCCAGCTGAGAAAAAAAAATACAGGAGGAAAAGGGCTAATAAAAATAGTATCCTTTGGGGTTTTTTTTAGTGCTATAAGTATCAGTGATCATTCTGCCTGAAAATCCCAGTGCTCACAGGGCTGTCCTTCATGCCAGCCTCCACCACTGGCCTTCTCAGCTCCAAATTTCCTCCCACCTGAGGGTGGGGGACACAGAGGAGGGCAGAACTCTGCAGTCCCAAGATCTGGTCAGAGTCAAGAAGTATTTTAGGTACTCCCCATCCTTTTCCTGCTGTTGGCTGCTGCAGCTGCTGTGCCCTGTGCTGTTTCTTTCTAACAAAGAGGGAAGGACAGAGGCCTTTCTTTTGAATTTTCTTTTGAGGACTTACCAGTGCTGAGTGTTCTTCACCCACTCCTGTCTCCAGGCAGAGTAGATACTCCCATCCTTCCCTTGTCCTTCCCTAGAGAGGTGCCTTTTATGGTTTAGCACCAATTTCCTGAAAACAATAATGAACTTAACAAGGAACCAAACACTTATTTCTATTCCAAAACTTATTCCACCTGCCCATTTTGGGTGAATCCAGCCTGTAAGTGCCTTTACTTAAAGCCTAAAAACTGCCTGAGGCTGATTGATTTGTCCCACATGTATGTGTTTTACCCATCACCTTGGGCTCTACACTAATGCACAATCACAGCTGAATGAAACAGCTGATATGAGAAAAACCTCGATCGAGAAGGACAGAAATAGTTGTGTTATAGCACAGGGAATAGTTCTGGTGTTCACTTATGCTTTATGCCATAACTTTAGCACAAAAAAAACCCAAAAAACAAAAAAACAACCCACATCTAATTTTTAAAATTAAGCTGGCACATGGATTTGCTTAGCTGTTTCTGAAGTTATGGCTATGAAACAGCAGATCAAGTGTCACTCAACAGAGTGTCAAGCCAAACTCTGTCACCGCAGTCATACCCACCGTGCCAGAGCCTCCCTCTCTCCCCACAGAGATCTGCCCTCAGAGCCACTACCAGCAAGGCATTCACAGCACGAGAACAGCTAAAATTGCAGTGCTGTGACAAATATTTGCCCCTCCCAAAGTGCCTCTCCGAATCTGAGCTGATAGCACCTCCCGGGAGATGGAGCTCTGCAGAGGAGCAGTGTCAGCACATCCACCCTCCCTGCAGGACATCCCTGCCAGCAGCACCACTGCCACCACCCAAAGGCACCCAGGCTGCCAGGAGGGGCTGGCACAGGGCACAAATCCACCTCTCACCTCTTCATTCTAGAGCTGTGTGGGGGTTTAGGCTCCTTTTCCCAGTCACAGAGTGACCCAGGTGGGGCTAATGAGTGCTTGCCTTGCTTACCTAATTAGAGGCACTGAGAGCAGCAGGCTGCAGTTCTGGGCTGGGGCACTTGCAGAGGAAATATAGAGGCTGTGGGGTTTATTTCTAGCTTTGTTTTTTGGTTTGGGGTTTTTTTTCCTTGTGGTCAAGTTAAAAACCTCTGGCAGGATAGCACAGCACAGATGGGAAGGAGCAGAGGGAGGAGGCTCCACAGCACTCTTTTAATCTGCATTATTCTGTGGTATGAGAAGGAGGCAGGAGGAAAAGATAAGGAAAGCTGGACCATTCCCATTCAAAAACAGATTTTCAATGTGTGATCTAAATCCTTCAAAGGCCAGCCTAAGCCTCCCCACTTGCACAAACCACCGACCTCAGCAGAGTGCAGCACAGCCTGCCCTGTGCCCTGGGGCATTCTGTGGGACACTGATGGACCCCAAAGCCCTCTGCAGGGGCTTCACCTCCCTCCCCACCCGCCATGCATCTTCCTCTCAGTGGTAGTGCCCGAGGATGCTGAAGGAGAGCCTTCCCCAGCAGAAATGTTGGGAGAAACTGAGCAATTATGGCTGCTGGGCTGGGCTGGGCACTCCCTCCCTTTTGCACACCACAGAGCTTTTTGCCATTTGGGTGCAATTCCGTGGACAAACAGACAGGCAGGCAGACAGACTGACAACAGAGAGCCAGGCAACAGCTGGGCAGGGACTGGGAATGGGGGACAGCACTGCTGGGGGATTCTGCAGCATGGACCATGCCCACGGGGGCTGAAATCACCTGCCAGGGAAGGTTTGGGGTGCAGGGGCCCCTGTCAGGGAGGTAATGGCCAGAGCTGCTAAGGCTGCTCCTGGCTGTCCCACGTGTGGCAGTGGGCTGGTCAGAACGTGACAGCTCGAAGGGATCTGGGTTTTATTACAACCTCACCTCTATCATAACACACCCAAAGAAGGCCTTCAGCTGCTGAGGAGCCTGCCCTGTGCTCACAGGCTTGACCTCAAAAAGTTGTGGTCTGAGCTCTCTTTTCCTTGCCTGCCCAGCCACTCACCTACAAATTTCAGCTGCTGCTGAAAGGTGTTTCTTTTTCACCTCACTCTTGCAAGCTGCATTTCCCTTGCCTCTTCCTAGCTGTTATTTAGTTCCCTTCATGTTGTTTTCCCCTGGCTTTTTCTTTGTTTCCTTCACAGGAAGCAGCACATCATTATGGCTGGTCTTTCTCTAGGGCTCTCCTAGCCGAGGTCATTACTTAGCTGGGGAGATCCAAGGAGGTGGCTGTTTGTGTGGCTGTGAGACCTGTGAAAAAGCAGCTAATCAATTCAGAAAATCATCTGGGTGGTAACCCCACTGTCAGCTTATTTTCTTCCCTTCCACTTAGACATCAAACTGGCTGAAGAGGACTCTGGGGAATGAGGCAGGCACTGAGAGCTCCTCCTCTGCAGACACATCTGTGTCTTTCATCAGCAGGGCTCAGGGAATACCACTAACTGGAGAGGGGAAAAAATCTCTTTGGAGCTGAGAGGATCGTGGTCTCCATCCTCCTGCTCTGAAGAGACCCTGCCCAATGGGGAAGCAATCATTTGGAAAGTGGCTAATGCACTAACGCTGTTTGGCAGAAACTGTCACGTAGCAGGCAGGACTGGGGAGGACAGGGACAAAACAAACAGCAGAGAGGACATTAAGCTATGCCAGCGAGCAGACCCTGGCAGCCCAAACAGCCTGCAGGGGCTAAGTGGAGCAGCAATTGCAACAGGACATGCAAATGGCCTTCTGGTGAATGAACTTACTAATTGTTGCACTTTGCTTTCGCTCAGTCTTCCTCTGGTTTGTGTCTCTGGGGACTGCATCAGAAGAGGGAACACTCAGAGCCATAAAGCCTTTACCTAGGCCAGTTTTAGTCATTAGAAATAGAGATGCCTCATGCTCTGGGACTCTGTGGTGCTGTTCAGCAAAGATAAGTAATATCAGAAAGGCATTCTCAACCAGGCCAGCTCCCCCTCTGAAGGGGGACTGTGCATGTGTCATGGAGCCACAGAAAGGTTTGTGTTGGGAGGGGCCTTTAAAGGTTATTTAGCTCCAGCTGCCCTGCAGTGAGAAGGGAGACCCTCAGCTACATCATACTAGAGCCCAATCCAGCCTGCCCCTGAATGTTTCCAGGGATGGGGAATCCACAACTTCCATGTGCAATCTGTTCCAGTGTTTCACCACCCTCACCATAAAAAAATTTATTCCTTATTATCTAGTCTAAATCTAGCCTCTCTTAGTTTAAAACCAGCATTGCTTGTCCTACCACAACATACTCCGGGATGGGGAATCCACAACTTCCATGTGCAATCTGTTCCAGTGTTTCACCACCCTCACCATAAAAAATTTGTTCATTATCATCTAGTCTAAATCTAGTCTCTCTTAGTTTAAAACCAGCACTGCTTGTCCTACCACAACATACTCCATGAAAAAAATGTGTCCTATCTTTATCTTTCTTATAAAAAGCTATTTCAGTACAAACAGGCCACAATAACTTCTCCCTAGAGCCTTCTCCAGACTGAATAATCCCAATTCAGCAATTCCTTAGAGATGAGGAGCTCTGTCCTGCTGATCACCTTGCACAGCCCTCATCCCACCAAATCTCCCTGCCATCCATAGCCCCACTCTGGGAACTGGCCAAAACTTCCAGCCCAGGGTATTGCCACCACCAGCCCCCAAAACCTTTTTCCATCCCATCAGGGGTCAAGGGAGGATTTTGGGGCCAGACTGGGACAGGGGGAACTTTACATTCCATCCCAGGGGACCCCAATCAGAGGGCTAGAGCCAGCACCCCCAGAATCCTTAGCAGCCTTCTGCAAGGACCAATCCTCCATCATGTATCAACAAGGATTTTGATAAGAAGAAGGGGATTTTATACTCCTTTGGACTGAAATGATGGGAATCATGTAGGTTGCTGTTGTGTTTTAGTTACATGCAAGATGTCATTAAGCAAATGTCTTTTCCATACAGCAAGGAACACTCACACATAGCCAGGCTTTCCCTATTTTCCATGCACTGTACAGTGGTTCTTATTGATTTAGCAAGAATACTGAACCCTCTGCAAAGATTTGCTCTAAGTTCAGCATGGGAGAGCAGCCTGGATTTGAGGTTTCCTTCCTTCTGCAAGGTTAAGTCACATCCTTAGGTGTCCTTTTAGAAAGCTAACAAACCATGTTAGAAGAAAGAGAAAAATCTTTAATGGAGAAGCCTTGCACTCAAGAGAACACACAACACTGACCCAGGCCACAGTTCAGTTCTTGGGCTCATTTCCTGCAGAGACAACTGCACACCTTCTTTCCTGTTAGAAGCAAACTCTGATGCTCTTCACAGCCAGACAACTTTGACAAAGGATCTCAGAGATAAATGAAAGTATTTAATGTTTGTGAAGAATGAATTAGTGCAAACAAATTCCCTGAAGCTACTGTTAAAAAAAAAAACCCAGCTCAAATAGAGGGAGAAAGCAAAAAACTCCTCAACTACCTTTAATGACAATGCCATCCTACAGAGCAAGTTCTGTATAAAATCAAGATGTGCATTTGCTTCCTTTGGTGTCTCCAGCACTTAAAATAAAATAAAGCTTTTATCCTATTATATTTTAAACCATGACTGACAGCAGAAAAACAGTTCTTGCCTTATTTCCTCTATTTTACCAACATGAAATGTTCTACCCATGGATTTGGCCAGTAGTCTGGAAAATGTCAAGGTTAGGAAAGGCTGAGCTTCATTTGCTTTTCACGGATCTGAGTAATGAATTGTTCATTTTAAAGTATTGTTCTAGCTTGAAAAGCGAGTCTGCAGTGCTGGCATCATAGGGTTCCACATCTGTCTCTTAGTTCCTCTGGACTACATTGGCTCAATTTATTAAACAGGGAGGGATTTTTATGTCCTGCAACCCTGCAAACTAAACAGGAGCCCTGAGGCTTTAGTGGGGTTTTCCTCCTCACATGCACTTATCAACATGGCAAATTCTGCTCGCTAACCCTTCAGATCAATCTCCTACATTGGTGTTGCTACTGCAAAAAAAACAAACTGACAAACCCAAAGAGCAGGAAAGGTAAGAGCATCAAGAACTTATTTTTGACACTAGACAGAGTACTTACTTATAATTTGCATTCTTATAATGCAAATAGGAAGCAGAACCCCACAGTAAAAACAAAAGCAGAGTCCCCAGACAGAGTTGGGTAAAAGTCATTGTGGTTGCAGCTTGATAAAACTCCATGAAAGAATGAGCAGCTCAAAAAGATTCACTGGGAACTCATCACTGTGTTTCATTGTGTGAAAGCCAGAGATATTCAATTACATTAGAAATCATATGAGGGCAATTGGAGGCAGTCCCTTTTCACACTGTGTACATTTACCTATGGAATGTGCTTCTGCCATGTGTGATGGAGCCCAGGGGTCTCAGCTGGATTCAGAAAAGAGTTCAGCAGGTCTCAAACATCCTTATAGGCAATATTAAAAGCTATAATTAAAGTAACAAAGGCTGCTAGTGATGTAAGCCCTGCTTGCCAAAGCTGAATTCAACCTTTCCCAGTGGAGTTTGGGAAGTGTTTCAGCAGTAGGGATGTTCTCCTGCATGCCCCTGCCCACAATGCTGATCCCTGGCAAAAACAAAGACCTAGAGGAGAGCAAGAGTTAGTCTTATCTAACACAAATCAGTTTTTCTATTTTATTTAAACTGCTGAGCATCAAATATGCTCACTGTAATCCTGACCAGTCCCAGGGGCAATGCAAGGTTGGAGGGGAGGTGTCCACTGAGTCCTGACCCCCATAAGGGCTCGTCTTGGGCACTTATGAAAAGGTGCAAAGAAATCCTTTACCTTATACAAATGTCTTGGGGCAGCCTGCTCCACTGCTTAACTACTTAGGTGGGAAGCAGAAAGGCAAAATTTCTTCTTATTTTCTCCCAGAGGTTGATTTCACTGGCTCTGCTGCACAGCAGTGGCACTTCCAAAGAGAAAGCTCCTGAATGTTTTTCTGTCTAAAAGTGCTTCACCCATTTGAACACCCCTGCAGTGTGCCAGCTGCAGTTGCTGAAGGGATGCTGGCCCAGTGACACAATTCCCCTGGGCTGGAACGGAGACTGAGGGCTTGTCAGCATCCAAAAAGGGCCCAGCCTGGTGTCTGCTTGATTGTGTGAGAATTGTGGAGTCACCTCAGCACATCCACACTCCCAGTGGTTCCACAGAAGTGGTGTCCTGTGGCAAGTGCTGCCAAGTACAGCAGAGGAGGGGAAGGGGGAGAAGAGCAGCCCCAGCCACAGCAGGAGCTCAGGGTAAGCACGAGGGTTGCAGCCTGAGCGAGCCAAACAACACGTGTGAGCCCGCCTCAGCCAGGTGTATTTAGCTCCTTCCAAGGTTTCCACTCCTCTCCTGGCCACTGCACACAGCTTGAGTGGCCCTGTGGCTGCTGTGGGGCTGCAGCCTTGCAGGAGGAGGGCGAAGAGCTCGGGCTGAGCATCCCTGGGGTGGCTGTGCCTGGGATTTGCAGGGGGATGTGCTGGAGGTGGGGAGCAGGTGGCACAGTGCTGGGCTGCTCAGCTGTCGTGTGGCTGGAGAGGGACGGACGCAGCTGGGTGAGGGGAGGGCTCAGGCTCTGGCAGTCCTTCTGCTTTACAGAGCTGTGGCCAGCCAAGGAGCAGCAGGGAGGGATCCAGCTGGGATGCAGGGCCCTGTGTGGTTTTGATCCCAGGAGGGGCAGCGCCCTGCAAGGGGCACACACAGGGTCGGTGACAGCCCTTGTGAGGGGTGAGTACCCCAGCAGCAGCCCCTGCTGTGTGCCAGCAGGGGCCTTGGCAGTGCTCCCCGGGGCATAGATGGATATCTGCTCATGCAAATAACCTGGAAGTGTCCCCCGGAGTGGGACAGCTGGTCCCCGGTAGCGCTTCTGGGAGCATTCTTTGTGTGCCCATGTAAGTACCCTGGCAATCTCTTTTGGGGCTCGCCAGCAGGGGCCCTGGCAGAGGCCAGGAGCAGCATCCCAGTGGCTGAAGCCATGCCAGCTGAAGCTTTCCAGCAGCAAAGCTTCCTTCTGCCCCGAACAAAGAACCAATGTGGCCGGCATTATTGATTTGTTTCGTGACTCGCCGCTTTTAGCGTGGCAGGAAAAGACCAAGAGGAGTTTTAATCTGTCCAAATGGTTTTAGACAAGGTTAATAAAACTCATTGATAAATGGCACTTTTCATTAAGTTTTAATTACAGTGTCATTTCAACAGGCTGGACGTGCATAGTTGTGGCATTTGGTTTTTCCCTTTAAGGTGATGCCTCAGCAAAGTTGGTGGTGGTTTTTTTTTTCATTTAAGGTGTGCTTCCCTCAGTTCAGTGATTAATTTCATTGTGGACCAAGGAGCTGCCAGGCTGCTGGAGAGCCCGACTGCCTCAGTGAATTCCCTTTGGCCCCCATCCCATGCTGGCAATTACAGCAATTTAGCCTAAAATGTGAACCTAGCACACTTTTGTACCTTGATACATCATCATCTGGGTCCAGAAAAGGTGCTGGTGGCTGCTAGCCATCCCTCCTCCTCAGGGACTGGTGAGGATGCTGAGCATTTCATCTTTCCTGCTGTCTCCCAGAAGTGGGTTTGAACACCTGAAAGAGATGCAGACAGGATCTGGTTCAGGTCAACTCACAGCAGAGTGAACAAAAGAAGATACCAGGACCACTGATCAGTCAGAATCTGCGTTTGGCTGATAGTTCTCCCTCTCCAGAGTGAAAACATGAATACTGTTTCAGTTTAAGGTCTGTGTACACACACATTATCCCTGAGACAGTGCTCCCTCCTGTGCACTGCACTGCTTTCTGTCCCCAGCTCAGTTTCAAAACTTTATTAAAACAGTTATTTTTAAGCAGTTTACAATTTCACTATTTGCTCCCTTTCTTAACAGCAAATTTCCACATTCTTTCCATGTAATCATTATAAAAATGGAGAAATTCACTGCTGCAGAAGGCAGTCTGGTAAAGACCTTTCACTTTAAAATGCCCACTGCTGTCACCATCAGCATCTGAGGAGCTGTGGTGCTTCAGCCTGGGGATTGACAGCAGATTATATTCATCCCCTGCATCTCCACCTGCCTTCAGAAGGCTCACACAGCATGGTAGCTGGTGTCTGAGATCATCCCCTGGGGGCTGGACTGCCTGGGTTCAGGGCTGCCTTAGATAATCACACAAGTGCCTGATGTGGAAGAGAGCTCTGCTAAGAAGCCCTGCGAGGGCCTGTCAGGCTGCTCACAGGCTGAGGCTCCTGCCCTTGCTGCCTTGCACCTGCAGCTGTGCCATGTGCCCTGTTTGTGTGGACCTTGCTCTGTGGACTTCATTCCCTGAGCTGACCTTGGACCTGTCTCGTCACCGAGGACTGGCCTGGCAGTCTCTGGGCTGTGGCTGAGCCTGGCTGCCATCCCCAGATCTGCTCTGCTCTCCTTGCTTGGGTACTGTGTGCCTGCACCTCTGCCAGTCTGGCCACTGCCCCAGGCCTGCCTTCTGCCACCCCCAGCTCCAGGCTCACCTTCCTGCATGGGGCAGCCCTCACAGGTGACACCCTGATTGATGCCTACACCCCTGATGGTGCTGTAATTTTGCCTGGGTTGTCACCAGCAGGAAACAGTCACCCTGTGTCTGTAGAGGACCTATTGGTCAGGCAGAATAGAAAGGAAGAAAGGAAGAAGCTCTCCCATATTATAATTCAAAGCAGCAAACCAGCAGGAAACAGTCACCCTGTGTCTGTAGAGGACCTATTGGTCAGGCAGAATAGAAAGGAAGAAGCTCTCCCATATTCTAATTCAAAGCAGCAATTGGGCAGCAGCATTCCTGCGCCCATGTGCCACATACCAAAATCTTAATGTGTGCTACAGCAGGGAGGGATGTTCCACAAAGTGAAAGAAAGAGGAATTTCAGGCAGATGGTGAGCCTGGAGAAAAGGAGACTCAGAGGTGACCTTATCACTCGCTACAACTCCCTGAAAAGTGGCTCTAGTCAGCTGGGGTTGGGCTCTTTCTCCAGGCAGCACTGACAGAACCAGAGCACACAGCCTCAAGCTGCACCAAGGGAAATACAGGTTGGATATTAGGAAAAAGTTGTTCACAGAAAGGGTGATAAAGTTCTGGAATGGCTGCCCAGGGAGGTGGTGCAGTCACCATCCCTGGGTGTGTTTAACAAAGCCTGGATGTGGCACTGGGGGCCAGGGTTGAGTTGAGGTGCTGGGGCTGGGTTGGACTCGATGATCTTTAAGGTCTCCTCCAACCCAGTCATTCTGTGATTCTGTGAATACTGGCTCCCCAACATGCCACTCTGGAGGGGGCTGTGCTGGGTGTGGATTGGGATGCAGGGTGGGCTGGGCCCTGCAGATGAGCTGGCTCCCACAGCTGGGGGTTCCACGAGAACCTTGCAGCAGCACAGAGCCACTCTCAGATCTGGCAGTGAGGTTCAAGAGACAAGGCTTGCTCACCAACACTAAAACAAGGTGGACTTGAGCTCTTTGTTCCTAGGGTGGGCTGAAAAGTAGTTGCATCTCATGGCTACCAAAAGACATGGGCTGTTTGGGTCAAAGACCCCACAAGCCTCCTTAAAATCTCTGTGCCTGAACTTTGTGAGTTCAGTCATTGCAGCTTCTTGCTGAAGGTCTTGCAAAAGTGGCCCTGGCTGTGTGCTCCATGCCTTTGTCACCCTGCTGGGGTGAGTGCCTGGGGACTTGGCTGCTTGCTGTGGTAAGGCAGGCAGTGCTGCAGTGCTTTAGGGGAAGAGCATCTTTCAGGAGATGCAGGGATTTAGCCAAAGGTGAGACTGTACCTATCACTACCTGCAGGGTAAGGCTGGGAGGTGCCAGGGGACAGGAGTGCATTGGGCTGGGCTGAAATGCCTCTGAAGAACAGGATGAACAAGCCTAGGCATGCCAGAAATGCCCTGAGCTTTGCCTGTAACCATCACAAGCTCTGCTGTTCAGGGTGTACCCTGGGCAGGTGACTGCTGCTGGGATGAGCACCCTTCACCTCGCTTTAAACTCTGTTGCTCAGGTGTTGCCACAGCTGAGAGCAATACAGATCCCTGCAGAGCACAGCCCTGCCTGAGGAGCCTGGGGGAATGAGGTTTTGCTGGCAGGGCTGCTAGTGCTGACTGGCTTGAAGCCAGTGTCTGCATTTGCAGCATGGTATATGGAGGTACCTCCAAAGGGAACTGTGCAGAAGCCTTGTTTTGACATCTCAAGGCTTTAATAAAGTTTGGATGTTTGCCTAGGCAGGATGAAGCTTGGCTACAACACAGGCACTTTTGGCCAGTCGTGTTTTAACCCAAATGCTCCTCACTACTGTTAATTTTTCAGTATAAACCCATTCTAAATCCTGAGTTGCTTGCCTCATGCACAGGAGGAAAAAAAAACCATACAAAATGGGGTGACTCCTGAGCAGCTGAAGATTGGGTGTATCTGCTGATGTGCTCCACAGCCCTTGCTATCCTCCATTCCAAAATATTTCTGGAGCCTTAGAGCCATAGTTCTGGGATTCAGTGTAGAATGTCTCTTCTGGTGAGACTTCTATGAGAGGCTGGGGTCAGAGAGAGAGACAAACATGTGCAGTGCCCCTGCAAGGCCTTGCACTTTTTCCTGATTGTGCTGGAAGTGTGGGTGATGGTGGAGCTGTGTGGGAGAAGCAGACACAGAGAAATGGAGAGGCAGAGAGACGAGAGGATGGCTGACCTGCAGACTCAGGATGTCCTGGCAGAGGTCACGGGGAGCTCACAGCTGCAGAGTGACCACAGATGAACTCAGATCCTCTCTGTCAAGGTGTGATGGACCCCAGGGACAGAGGTGGAGGGATTAGGACAGAGCCATGGTTGGCTTTTGGTTCTGCCTGGGGAAGTCAGGTGGGTGGAGTAGAAGGTTGGGAGTGGGGAGGATGTTTACAGGGAATATAGCTCCTAGGAACAGGAATTTTGCCTGCTTTTATGCTAGGAAAAATCCCCCAAAACCACACTAACCCCTGTGTATTCATCCTCCAGCACAGACAGATAGACAGACAGACAGACACCATAGGTCAGGCAGGAAACCTGATGTGACTAACACAAAAAGCAAGAAAACACTTCCCATGGTAGCACTGGGCTTCTACCCTCCCTAAAGGCATCCCCCAGAGAGAGAGTCAAGTACACTTGCTAATCCAGGATGTTTTGGTCGCCTAGTTTGCTCTCATTTTTGTCCCTGTGGGCAGGAGAGGAAGAGAACAGAAGAATACAAATAATAAACTTGAGGCTCTGGGAATCTTTGCACAGAAGGCTTGGTGACAGCTTGGGACCTGCCTTGGATGGCACTGAGCCCCTTTCCCAAATAGCCAATGCTCTCAGCTCGTGCCCTGGGAGCCCTTGAATGGCTGCTGCTTGCCCCCAAAGCCATGGGGTGTTAATACACCCCATTGCTCACTTGGTTTTGTGCTTCCCAGACCTCCAGGGTGGGGTGACAGCAGCAGGGAACTGGGGTGGGCAGCTGTGGAGGGTTGGAAGGAAATGATGCAGTTTCACTTATTTATTTGCATGTTAACTCCAGCAGCAGCAGGGACAGCTGGGTGTGTGTGCTGACTGCTGAGCCCCTCTCAGAGGGCAAATGCTGATGGAGCTGCTTGGCTCCTGGAGCTCTGAGCCCTGCTATTGTGAGCAAGATTTGAGCTTCTGCAGGTGTGCTGGGAATAGCCCAAAGCACCTTGTCTCGGTTGCTGGTCAGAGGAATTCATGTCTGTTATATTTGGGAGCCAGGCAATGATTACAAATCAATGACTGCACTCCCAGAGTGATCCATCATTAGCCTGGGAATTTAGCCCTTTCCCTGGCTCTCTCCATCAGCAGCTCCTGCTCCTGTGGCATCTCAAGTGTCTTATTCATTTTGAATCATTGGATAGTTATGGATGTAGCTGAGGAGGAGTGGAAGAACAGATGCACTGAGACATGCTTGGGCAGCAAAGGGGAGGGAGGGCTTTTGAAGGGGCATGGGGCACCTTGAGGGTGAGCAGAGCTTGGCTGCAGACTGGGGAGCAATGCTGCCAGCAAGACCCAGGGCACACCAGCATTCTCTCTGCTGCAGGGCTCCCACAGATGTCCCTGTTGGGCTGGGAGAAGGTCCAGCAGAGGCAGGGACTCCCCAGAGCCTGCCCTCCCTCACCTGGGCACCTGCCCCTTGTCCCACCTCATGGTTTCCCTCTCCAGACTAGACTACATCTCTTATGCAGACTTGCTTTGCAACAGCTGCTGGCCCAGGGACCACGGCCATTGCACCAGCAAACACAGCAAATAACCATCACAGCTAGGCAGGGAATTGGTTCCATTTCACAAATGAGGCAGCTGGCACAGAAAGAACAGCTAACTGGTGAGCTAGGGACACATTTCCCGGCTCCAGTCCTCTCTTCCCGGCCTTACAGTGATATTTCCAGAAAGCAGCTTAGATTACAACATGTTCAGAGAGGCTAGGAAGCCAAAAGGCAGCCCCACCCTCTGTGCTCTCAGAAATGCTCCTTGGTCTGCACTTGGCTCACACAAAAATGGGTGTCCCCCACAGAAAGCACAGCCAGGTCTGCATTTGGCACACCCAAAAAGGGGTGTCCCCCACAGAAAGCACAGCCAGTCTGCATTTGGCACACACAAAAAGGGGTGTCCCCCACAGAAAGCACAGCCAGGTCTGCATCACCCCTAGGTCTGGCCCCTGCTGGATTTAGCTCTGTAGCTTTTGCTGTCACCCACACACGTGCCAGGCTTTAACTGGGGCTGGCACACTGCAAGCTGACCCTCCACAGCAGCAGGAGGGACTCTACAGGACCTGAGCTGAAAGATGAAGTGAGAACCACACATCTGCAAGCCTGCTGCTGCTGCCTCTGTGCTCCTTCCCTCTTCCTGCACCCCCAGAGCTGCCCATGCTCCCTGTGCAGGGCTGCTGCTGCTGCCAGGAGCAGGGTGGTGGGAGCAGGGCAGGGGCAGGAGGGAGAGGTGGGGAAATCCTCTGGGAATGGTCCCTGTCACCTTGAAGGGGCTCAGGAGGTTTAAAGGAGAGCAGTTCACACGTGGAACTGAAACTGAGGCAGGGGGAACTCGCTGGGAGCACTCAGTGCTGGCCACCAGCTATTTCAAGCCTCAGATGCATCTGAGGTGCAGCTGGGCATAAAGAAGGGCAGCTTGCACAGACACACCCAGGACAGGGGCTTTGGAACACTGCTGGGTGCAGCTGCAGCAGCTGAGAGGGCAGCAGGGACCAGGAGCCACCCCAGAAAGAAAAGCAAAGCTGGGCTGTTTGATGAAGGAGCAGGGCATGCCTGGCTAAACAGCACATGGGACCAGAGCCAGGGAGAGGAAGATTATTCCAGGGCCACACAAGACTGGACAGGAACTGCAATCATGCTGCTGTGGACAGACACAGAACTATTGCAAAACCTCCAACCAGGCTACTTGGTTCTCAGGAAGAATGCAAAGAAGCTGAGAGATGTGTTGGTGTGGAAATGACAACTGTAACATTCCGTGTTAGTCCTTGAGACAGGCCAAGCCTTCCTATACCATGTCTCAGTTCCCAGGGAAGTCTGAAGCCAGGGTTTTGGCTGCCTGCAAGCACTAGACAAACCCAATCTTCCCCCAGATGGGGCTCCTGGTTGTCCTCTTCTCCCTCTTTCCACCTTTCATGTCCAGACAGATCCCACCTAAATGCAGCTGTGGTCCCATTTCACCAGGATTTTTTATTTTCAGAGCACGCACCACATTTTAATAGAGAGCAAAGCCTCTCTAACACCTGCTTATTTCCTAGTCCAACCTCTGCAACATCTGTACAAAACTCTCCTGGCAGTGTCTGCAACTGCTTATGTGGAAAAGTCCCATCAAAGAAGTGTTTGAGCACTGGACTTTGGTTTTGTTTTTCAAATGTGATTTGAAAGGATGAACCACTACAAATCTCTGAGGTCCTCTGGCAGGCGCTCCCAAGACCCCTGCCTGGCTGTAAGCTACCTGAGATCCCTCACACAGCATTTTAACCCCCCTCAGTGCTCCACAGTGGGAATCTGCCTCCAGCACTGGATTTCTCACGACAGAGCCAGTTTTCCAACTGCCTGGGCTGAACTTGGTTTTATGGAACTAACGCTAGGCTTTACTATTTTAAAGTAAATTAAAGCAATTCCCTTCCTTCACTGATATTGTTCCCTGGAAGGTACTTGGAGGCAGAACTCTTGTCCCTACTGAGCCATCCCTTTTCACTCCATGTGCTTCCCTCCTCACACCTCCCATCCTCGAGCTGCTTTCATCAGCCAATAGCTGCTGCCGAGCATATCTGGGTCATCTTTCCACTCCACTGATCTCTAGTTTTGGGAGCAGGATCACCTAGAGACTCAAGGGACACCCATCCTGCTGAGGGGCACAGCCACCCTCGGGACATGCTGCCCTGAGGGAATATTTGGGATCCCTGGCTGATCCCTGCGTGGATGCTGGGACTGATCCCAGTGACAGCAGAGAGTGAAGGGACCAGGAAAGGAGGAAAAGCTGGCAGGTGTCTGGCTGGGACAGTCAGGGAGGGAGGATGGGCAACCTGAACACCCTGCTTTCAGTCCTTTGTGCCAGCTAATGAAATTTAACACATTATTGGCCAGACCCCACTGTCTCTGCCTCAAAAACAATTTGTGACTGCTGAGGATTGTTTCCAGTAGTTCTTAACTTACAAGACAGTTCTTTTTGTTTTAATAATTAAAATTACTAAATTTTTGGACTAAACTAAACCAAATGGACTTTGCTCTCCCCTGGAAGAGCTGTTTATGTAACACCTGTTTAAAGTAGTTTAAAATTCCTAAATTTAAGCAGTTTAAAACTCCAGTCCGTTGAACTGTGTGAAATAAAATACTGAAATTACTGTATTTGTTGTGATTTTTTTGTTTTTTTAAGTCCATCCCCCCTCCACCTGACTCGCTTCCCAGTTTAGCCCTGTGTCCCAGGGCTGGATTGATGCCTGCCCCATTCCCAGAGAGTGGGCAGGACCATGCCGAGGTACAAACCGCTGCTTTCTCAGCTGTAAAAGCATTAGCGAGCAGTTTGCAGTGTCGCTGGCATTCCAGGCTCTGTGGCCGGTCAGGATTAGATATCCAGGGCCGTGTCTATTCCCAGGACAGCGAGCAGGGCTTCGGAGTCTCCCCGCACCGGGAACGCTCCCGTGCGCTTCTCCCAGGACATTTTAAAGCCGCGTGTGCGCTCCAGCGAACGCGGCTCGGCTGCACAGACAAACCCCCAGAGATGCTGCCAGGCACCGATGGGTTAGAGACCCGGGGGGTCCCCTGAGCCACCCCGCTTTTTTGGCAGCCCGGCTCCTCAGTCTCTGCCCCTGTCCCACTTTCCCACAACCTCGCCTGCCTCCTCCTCCTCCTCCTTATATATTCATGAAGCGGGGCAGCTGGGGTGAAAGAAAAGCTGGGCGAGCCGGGGCGGCCGCACAGGAAGAGGAACTCGGTGTGCCTGGCTCGGCACGGCCGGGACGGACCCTGCTCTTTATCCCAATCCCGGTTTTCCTCCGTGCCGGGACAGCGCTGGCTGGCAGCGGGCAGAGCCCGGCGCGGCCGCGGAGCTCCGGGTGCCGGGAGAGGAGAGCTGTAAGTAACGGAGGCACTCTCAGCACGGTTAGGATCACATTTTGGGGGGATGTTTCCTTTTCTAGCTCAGAGCCAGGCCTGGGGTGGGGCTGCAGCCGCCCCCCTGCTCTGCTGGCTCCCCAGCACACCTCCAACCCACTAAAGGGGCTGGGGATGTTTTCCTGGATGTTTCCTGGGGATGTTTTCCTGGACCTACAGGTGGAGGAGAGAGAGGCTTGAAGGAGAAGACACAAGCAGGGCCTTTCTATGTAATTCACATAGGCTTATTTCAAAATATTGAGCCCTTCTCCAGCCTGTTTTGCTCTGGAGAGATTGGCACGGAGTCACCAAGGCCTGGTGTTGAAGGATTATATTGCAGTTGTGCTTTTTTGGGGGGGAGGGAGGGTTCTCAGAGTTCACATGTGCCTGCCTCCTCTGATCTCTTACAGCTCCCATGGTCTCACTTCCATCCCCTTTCCTCTGGGATTGCAAGGAAAGCACACACCTCTGTTACTGCAGAGAAAGCCTTGGGGTATCCTGCCTGTAATTTAACCCTTGGGATAGCTGGAATATACTAAAAGGGTGCAACAGGAGTTTCTCTCAGCTGGAGGGAGTGGGGATCTGATCAGCTCAAGCCTTAGCTGGACATTATCAGCACAGCCAGCACCCCTTATTCAATGAGAGCTCCATCCCAGCTTGCACCCTGACCCCAGCAATCCCCCTTTGCCAGTCTGATCCAAGCAGCAGCATCTCTTTACCTACCCAGCCTTGCTGTGTGCAGCCACAGGGAGTGTGCTGATCCATTAGCCCTAAATTCAGGGGACAATGGTACCGGGTGTCCCTCCCAGCACTGAGCATCCCATTAACCCACTGCCTCTGCACGATGGGCCAACAACTTCACACCCCACTGCCGAGGTGCTCCCTTCTGACCTCTGCTAATGCCTCCATGTTTTCTCCCTGTCCAGGTGCAGCTCTAAGATGAAACCTCCATCTGGGCAAGGTGTAAGGCTGGCATGCCTTCTCCTGACTCTGGCTGCCCCCTGCCTTCCCAGCCCCCTCTGGAAGGACCGGGACTCCCTGATGCAGGAGGAGAAAGCCCGTCAGACAGGGGGCAACTTGGTGCTGAGCAGGCAGGAGCAGCAGCTCAGTACAAAGCTCGTAAAGCTCAAGAAGAAGGAAGTGGAAGCAGCCATAGCTACAGGGCAGTTTCCTCCAAGCATGCACTTCTTCCGGGCAAAAAGCCTCATTGATCAGAGCACGGTGTTCAGCATCATAAAGCGCATGCCTAAAGGTAGGCTTGGCTTAAGGAGCCTCAACTCACTCATCCTTTCTCATCTTCTGCTTTCTGAGCTGGGACAAAACACAGGATGTGGGAGACAAGCTTCTGAGAGCTGTAAATTTGGCTCATTGGGTTTCAGGAAAGGCCCTGAGGAGAGGAAGAGGGGGATGGATTGGGTGAATACACATTTCCAGCAATTGTGGCATTTGGTTTAACTTACAATATGGATCCTTAAGTCTTTCAAGAGTGGAGAAGGGACAGAGGAAGCAAAGGCAACAAGAAATACCAGACATCCCCATTTACTCAGCATGTTCCAGCCAGGGCCTCTCTTTTTCCCCACATACACATTCCACAAACAGGCTACCAACCATATTCTATATCTCAGCCAAAAGCATTGCATCCCCCAAAAAGTGTTTCTGCACCTGGTTCTGTAGCAGACCTGGAAGTGTGCTGGAAAGTCTGGGGGCACTAGAGGAAGAAGGGGCTACCTCTAACACTGAAATCTTTATGTTCTTTGCTTGTGGTGTACAAGTCAAAGCCTGTCACTTCCAGCACTTAAAGTGAGCTTGTAAAAGGGAGAGAGAGAGCAACATTTTACACAGGCAGGTAGTGACAGGACCAGGGGGATCAGAATTGAATTAAAAGAGGAGAGGTTTAGATTAGATATTAGTAAGTCTACTCAGAGAGTGGTAAGGCACTGGAACAGGTTGGCCAGAGAAGTTGTGGCTGCCCCATCCCTGGAAGTTTTCACAGCCAGATTGGATGTGACCCTGAGCAATCTTCCCACCTTCTCCCTCCCAGTTTTTCCTGTGAGTTGCAGATCTCAGACTTGCAGCATCCCAATCCATTAACATAAACAATTAGTGTGTCAGAAATGTCATTATCCTTTCATGGCTGAATTGAACAGTTAGAAATTTAAAAGTACTCCCCTCTTCACCTCCAATATCATTGATACCAAGTGGGAGTCAAAACAAATAATTAACACTTTTCAATCCTGGCAAAGTTTAAACAGGCTCCTGGAATTTTGCCCTTTGCAAGGGCTGTTAAGCTTTTAGGGCCAAGATCACATCCTTGTAGCTGTTTGAGTAGGATTTGATCAGAGCCCCTGGGAGTTCCTGTTGTTTCAAGCACTATGGTAATGTCTGTTGCTGCTCTCATAGGGAAGAAGGTGACATTGCCAGCCAGAGGAGGGTCAGGTTTGCAGCATGCCCAGTCTGGTGCACCAGCTCTGCTGAGAGCAGCAACCACAGCTCCTCAGCATCTTTACAGCCAGACCCTCTGTAGTGGGATATCATAGACAAGACTCTATATTAGATTAGTCCACTATAAATTATAGTCTGGAACTTAATGTAATGTCAAATACATACCAGTGTTGTTCTTGCTATTCCTGTCCTCCCTTTACCCTTGAGGGCATCAAAGCTATTTTGACTAAGAGGTCTCCCCTAGACTAATGGAATACATATCTAAGACTTCAGCTCTCACAGTACCTTCCCTTTACAAAGGTGAGGCTTAGTTCAAGCACCAATAACACCAGGAGTCTTTGGAAAAGGAGAGATTTCAGCAAAATGCAATGATGAGGAAGGTGAGCACACAGAGGATGCTTCCTGTGCCAGGAAGGCTGGCAGCTGCCAACCTACTGCACAATAACAGAGTGCCCCAGAGGCCCTCTGTGCTGGCCAGCAGCAGATGTACAATGTAAGTGAGCATGCTTTTGAAAAGGCACAGAAGTAAACTGTACTTCTGCATCTGAGTGCAATTCCCCAGAGTAACGTGGTCTGGGATTTTGGTGTGTGCCAGAGCTCCAGAGAGCTGAGAGAAGAGACAAGAACTAGACACAAAAACTGAAGCTGGGATCCAGACAGCTGAGATACAGAGCTCTGCTTCAGGTGTGCTTCAGCCAGCGTGCCTTGTGAACTGCTGCCTCCTGTGCAAGTTTCTCTCTAAAACAGTGGGGCCTGAGCCAGCTCACAGCAAACTCTGCCTGAAAGACCTTTAATAACTCAGAGCATTTTCCATCCCAGTGGAGAAGCAGAGCTCCCTATTGATTTCCCCCCTCCCTGTGCTCCCAGGGAGCTGTCACGCTCTGCCTGCCCAGTGTCTGATGTGGAGGGGGCCACATCCTCCAGCCTGGGGGAGGCAGAGCAGCACTGGAGTCCTTGCTGGGAGAACTCACCCACAGCCTTCTAGAAGCATTTCCAGACACCCCTGGATGAGCAAACAAACTGCTACCCCATTAAACCTGGGCAAACAAACTGCTATGATGTCAGAACCCAGGACACCCCTCTGGGTGCCCTGGATGACACGTGCCCCTGGCAGGAAGCCAAAAACACTTGGGATTTTGATCTTAACCCATGGAGCAAATTGCCAACCTTGTATGAAGAATGACAAGTCACAGAAGTTTAAGTAGAGTAATAATGAATTAGTCACTGGGTGAAAAGTGGAGTTTCGGGGATTTTACTATAGGGGGTCTAGGAGGCAAGATGGAGGGGTCTGGGTGTTGGCCTGTCCTTTTTCCTAGCCTCCATCTTCTGTGTGATATTGGCACTTTTGGATTGGTTTAGAATAGAAGTAGACAGTCTAGCATAGGTGATAGGTATTGGAAAATAATGATAAATAAAGTACATGTAACTCATAGTATAAAATGTAGACACCAGCCCAGGACAGAACAGTGTGCCCTTGACAGACCTGCAGAGCAGACCTGTGTGGGTCTGAAAAACAGTATTTGAGATAATCTATAATAAACAACCTTGTGAGACAGAGCTGAAGAATCCCAACTCTTTCTTTGACCATCAGGCTGGGAAAAAGGAACTCTTGGGGTCATTCTGAACACAGGGAACCCGAGACTACCCCGTTAAACCTTCTCCCCAGCTGCCTGGGCTCACCAGGGCATTCCTGTCCCCCACCAGGTGCCGTGCTCCACCTGCACGACTTGGCCATGCTGAGCGTGGGCTGGCTGGTGTTCAATGCCTCCTACCTGCCCGACTGCTACATCTGCTTCACCCCCACGGGCTCCGTGCGCTTCCGCTTCTCCCGGCCGCGCCCGCCGCGCCCGCCACCGGCCCCGTGCTCCCCGTGGCTCCTGCTGGACACCTACCGGGGACAGCTGAGGGACGTGGCCGAGTTTGACAGAGGGTGAGTGGAGGGGGTGGCCTCTTGGTGCTCCGTGGTGGAGCCAGCAGGAGCATCCTGGTCCAGCTTTCCCAGTTTGCTCGCTGCTCTGCGAGTGAGGAACTCCGTCTAGGGCTGTGAAAAAGCAAATAGCAATGTAAGAGCCTGAAGGCTGCTGCCTTAAGTACACCAGAACCAGGGACCATAAAAACTGATTCATCCTGGTCCAGCTTTCCCAGTTTGCTCGCTGCTCTGCGAGTGAGGAACTCCGCCTAGGGCTGTGAAAAAGTAAATAGCAATGTAAGAGCCTGAAGGCTTCTGCATTAAGTATGGTCCCTTACCAGAGTCAGGGACCATAAAAACTGAATTTTTCTCTGCACACATGCTGAAGTAAATTTATGAGACCTGGCCCCAGCTCTCCTCAGCACTGAACGGGCTCTCAGTGTGGGACGGGGCTGCATGGTGCCTCATCCAGTGAGGTATCCAAAAACTGGGTGAGGAAGCCAGGTAGCTGATGAACCGGCTCTCCCCAACAGCAGAGAAATCCTTTGCAAAGTCATTGTTTTGATTTAGAGCAAGAAGTTGGGCAAATTATTTAACTACTGCACCAGCAAAAACCCTCAGACTTCCCAAAATAAAACCCAACCCAACTGTTCCTCTAAACACCAAACTTGCTTTCTGAGGCCTGCCTTATAAACCCCACTGGCACCCATCACCTGGAAGCACGAGGCACTCATTCCCACCAGGAGCTGTGCCTCGCCCTCCTGGGCACTGGCTGAGCCAAGGAACCCCACACACAGGACCCCTGCCTGGTTTGGGGGCTCCTTCCCCTCCAACACCCTCCTGCTAGCAGAGCTCCTGCCCTACAGGCAGCTGTCCAGGTGCTCACACATGAGCTGGCTCCCCAGAGCATCACTCACCCTCCTGCAGGAGCTCCTCTCCCTGCAGGCAGCTCCTGCCTTTGCTGCTGGCAGCCTTTTATCAGGGCTGGGCTCTCTGAACCACCTGGCATTTAATCACTTCCAGGTGGCTGGGGAGAGCCTGGCTCCCCCTCTAGGCAGTGGTGATGGGAACACAGAGTCCTATCTCCCCGTCCAGGGGCCATTGATCCCGGGACAAAGCCCTGCTGCAAAGGCCAAGAGGAAGCATGCAGCTCTGCCGTGGTGTGTGGGGGGCTGGAGGGAGCACGCTAAATAATGCATGAAGTCAGACACTGAGCGATGAGGACAAAGGAAAATATTGAGTAGCCATCCATTCAGAGGGCACCGCTGTCCGTGGCGCTCCGGGGGCTGGGGTCTGCAGGAAAAAAAGTGTGGGGTGTCCTGTAATGACAGAGAGTATTGCCATGCCAACACACAAGGAGAGGGCTGGATCGAGGCAGTGCAGGTGACCCTAATTCCAGCATTTCCCTAGTGAAACTTGGTGGGTTTTACTGCAGTGCTCTTCAGTGAGGTTGTGTGCTCTGAAATAGAGACCTTTTAACTCTTGGTGAGCTGGTGTCCCCTCCACATGGAAGCTCTCTGGGCTCTGTGCCCTGCAGATCTGGGAAGGAGGTCAGGTTGGGAAGCTGAGGAGCTTCCAGACTTGTGGCACAGTATGGCCTTCCCTCCACAAAACCAGCAATGGGCAGGGCAGAGGGGTCTGACTCACCAGGGCATCCACCATCCCTCTATTATGGAAGTCCAGAAGGGAAGGGGAAAGTGATGCCAGACCCTGGGCTCTTGACCTTTTATATCCTGAGGCTCAACTGCCCTGACACTTGATGGACAAAACAAGATCAAGTGAGAAATCACCAGAGAGAAAACTGATTCCCCGTTATGTCCCTTCCATTTCTTCTGGGAGTGATGAGGAAGGAAAGATGACAGCACCAGCTCTCTTCAACCACACCAGGAGACCCATAAATAACGTGCAAGAGATTGGATTTTGAAACAGCTTCACTTCCTTAAAGCCCAAGCAATTGCACTGAGCATTTAGAGGTGTCTCAGGAGCAAGCCTTCACTGCACTTGTTTTTGGTTGTGTTTCCATGGCATGATGCCACTTTCTGGCAGAGGCTGAAGGGCAGGGCATCCTGTACACCCTGTACACCTGGGTGACTGGGGCTGTGCTGTGTGTGGTTCCCTCTGTTCCTGTGTGGAAACACTTGTTTTCAGAGGCAGTACTGCCACATTCCTCTTCTTTTGTATTTCTCTGACAGTGTTTAGTGGCCACAAGTCAGAGCAGGACTTCAGAGTGGCAGGCACTGCACAGAGACACAAGACAGAGCCTCGCTGCAAGGGTCTCCCCAAATGTGGAGGGGAGACAGAGGCAGAGGCCAGTGAAGTGATTTTCCTCAGCAAACACGTGCCTGAGCCAAGAACAAACTTGGATCTCTGGCATCCTGGGTGCTCACTTATCCATTTGAGTATGTTGTCCTTCGTTTCTTGCCCTTCTGTGCTCATCACCACAAAAATCACAGAGGAGTCATTAGGCATAATGTGCAAACACACCAACAACAGCCACGCTGAGGCACTTCCCCTCCCATTCTCATCTAATCCCCGGGCACTAGTCTAGGGGTTAGGAATGCTTTTGGCCGTCTGGAAATAGGTCTCTAGCCAGGAATAGGCCCCAATCTGTTCTGCTTCTCAGTTTCTGGAAACTCTCCCAGTCTCTTGAACATGTGCATCCCAGGCTACCTCTCTCCTGCACTCCTCTTTGCCCTTGAGCACTGACAAGCTGAGAGAAAGCAGATGTCAGAGGGAAGAACGGATGGATAGTTGGGTGGTTTCAAGGAAGTGTCAAGGGAATATGGCAGCAGGGAAGGGCTCTCATGCAAGGCAGCGTGGATCAGCAAATGTGAAGGAACAATGGAAATGTTTCTGAGAAGCTGCACCTCTTTCACCTTACATTATTTCTGACCAGGAAGGGGTAGAATACAGGGAAATCTGCAAGATTTTTTTTGCTGTTTGCATTTTTAAGTGCATATACATACGTGTGTGTGTGTGTGTGCTTTGGAAGGGACTCCTTTTGTTTGTTTCCCTCAAGAGAAGGTCTAATCATTCCTATTCAAAGCACACATCTCATGGGCCAAGACCCCGGAGTATTGTGTTACTGGTGAGCTTCCAAAGGATGCTCTGAGGAGAGCCAGGAGACCACAGGCCAAGGGACAGCAAAACGAAGGGAATTTTGCTTTCATACTTAAAAGGAAAAACAATCCTCACTTATTTTCTCCACAATCAATTACGATACAGGAGAATGTCATTCTTTCCCTCAAGAAGCAACATAATGGCCGCCACCTCCAAAGCAAGAGCATGCCCCCGGATATTTAGGGAAGCAGCATTGACATTCCAGATATTTGTAAAATACCACTGCACACCCCCCACCAGCAGCACAAGGGCTGAGGCTGTGCCCAGCAGAGCTCTCTATCACCAGGATGAAGTCATCTGTGAGGGAGCTGACACCACGGCCGAGGCTTCAGGGACAGCTCCCCTGGGCACTGGCTGCTGCCCCGGCTGCCATCACCTTCCCCTCTGTCTTCTGACTGCCTTATCTCACAGAAAAATAGGGCAGTGTGTGCAGTAAGAGGGGGGGGAAAAGGAATAAAAATCCACTACAGAAACAAAGCACTCCACTCCCACTACAAGTCTCCCCTTGGGGAGAAGAAGAGGGGATGAGAGAGAGCGAGAGAAAGCGAATGAACCACATGTGACAGATGTTAGTCACACTATTTAATGCACCACTGGAAGACATTTAGATACTATGGTGAGGAGAGGGGCATAATTACCCATCGAGAACAGAAAACGGAGCAGGAAAAAGAATCCCTTTAAAAACAAGGCAACAAAACCTTTCACTCCTGTATTACATAGCACAGGAAAGGAAAATGGGGATAAAACCCAGGAAAAGAGAAGGCAAACCCACAGCTGAAAATAAATAATCCTTGGCTGGTCATTTTTGCTGTGCCCCTTTGGGCATATGCATTGCAATAGCATTGTTCAGTGCATATATGACATGACATGGAAGGCTATTTGTAGCCTGCACCTGATCACTGGCAAAGGCCCATTCCAGAAAAGAAGCAAAAAAGGAATGTATTTATGAAGCTTTGCTTCATCTGCACTAGCTACTGATGGCAGAAGCCCCCGAACCCTTAGGAGATTATCTGGTTATCAAGGATGGATCACTATTATGCAATAAATCTTCAACAGTTGTAAGGATCAATAATCAGTCTCAAAGGGAAGGGGATTATAAAGAGAAGTCCAATTTGATTTATGTGCTTTTAGGAGCAGGGTGGTGTGGGGATTTATTGCTGTTTCTAGCCCAAGAGCACAGGCTAAGTAAACAACCACGAGTTTGTACAGCCGGATTTAAGGCAGGGAGCGGAGCTGGAGGAGCCGAGTTCTCACAGGAGAAGGGGAGAAAGTGCTGGGAGCCCGACTAAGCACCCATCCTTATCTGGAAGGAGCTGCCTGCGGTGCGAGAACGGGCTTGCACATCCTTTTGATCCACGGGGAGGTTTTTCCCTGAGCGCTCGCAGCGCCGGTGGGAACAGCCCCGCTCGGCTCCCGGTGCCGAGCTGGAGGGGAGCTGCCCTTCGGCCACGAGGGAAGGGCAAAATCCTCCTTCCCCCAGCCCTTCCCACACGGAAACTCCCTGATGAGCAGCGGCACAGCCCCGGTCCGCTGGACCAGCGCCCTCAGGATGCTCCTGAACCGGCATTCCTGGTTTCTAGGGTGATACCGGGGTGTCTCCTCGCTTCCGTGGTCCAGCTCGGTCTTCTCTGGTTGCATGGATTACTGAGCAGTAGCTGGGGTTGCCCAGTGTCCTGCGATAAAGGCACCAAAGCCCCCATTGTAATGCATGGGAGGGCAGAGCCCAAGTTGCTGTGGAAACCTTAACTCTGACTTTTCCTGACTGCTGAGCATTTAAAGTCTCGTCCTTAACAGTAGTAGCATCTCTTTTATGTACAGGTTTGCTTCTAAAATTGTTCCTGGCAAAGAAATTAACAGAGTGAGGAAGAAATGAAACTGCAGGCCCTGGAAGAGAATCCTTAGAGAGTGAAACATCAGGCAAATCCTGGGGGAACGGGCTCTGTTTTATGGGCAGGATGGAGGGATTCAAAAGGCATATCTGTCCAGGATGTCTTAGTTTATGAATCTGGACCAGATCACATCTTACATCTGTAGGGGGGCTGTGGGGGTTTAATTCCATCCACAGAAGTGTCCTGGATGAAGATAATAAGATCACAAATCAAAGCCACACCTCCCATATAACAGAGCAGAGCACTGCACGAGGATGGGGGCCAAGACATCAAACAGGAAACATTATTAAAGATCAGTAGCTGTTATTGAGGGGAAACAATATACCCAGATGAAAGCTGAAGCATGGCTGAAGGTATTTCTGTCTGAACCTGCTTAGCCCCTGACACGAGATAAGCACTGGGCCAGCAAGAAAACATCTGTAGGTTTCTGTGATGGCTTCCAGTTGTCTACCCAGGAATGAAGTTAATCATCCCTGCATTGCCATTTAGACTTTGCCCACTGGTAGGAGAAATTTATTATGAGCTATTCTTCAGGTGGAAGAAGAAGGGCTGTTGCCAGAGCCAGGGCTTCCTTCAGGTGGGATGAAGGCTATCAGCTTGCCAGAGGATGGTGCTGTGGCAGAGATGTTCACCCTGTCCTAAATGCAAGCTGTCACCCACAATTAGATATTCTTGCAATTTACTGGCTCCCTTAAAGTCTGCTTGATAAAACTACCCACTGTCTCCCTGGATTTCTGAAAGAGGATTATATGCCAGCTGAGTGGATGGAGGAAATAAATACATTTCCATCACACTAAGGAAAAGCTAGGACTGAGATTCTTATCAACTGTTTCCCTGAAGTAGCTATCAGCAAGGCAGGTGGGGAGTCAGGTTTGTTCTCAGTGGCTGGGAAAAATGATTTCTGATTCAGAACTGTCTTCCCCTTGCATCTTTGGATGGCATATTTTGACAATACAAAGGTATCAGGACAACTTATGGGCTCAGCAAGCAGGCTGGTGGTGGCCCAGTACGTGGCATGTCCTGTAAACTCAGTCTGCCTTTAGGTGCTGAACAAAGGACCAAGTGTTGTGACATCTTATCTGCGTTGAAGATTCTTGGGAAAACATATTATCTGCAGGAGTAACGTGCCTGCCTGCTTTCAGATTAGGGATACCCTGGGTAGCAGAGTATAAATGATATAAAAGATTTTCAGGTTAGGGATACCCTGGGTAGCAGAGTACAAATTATATAAACGATTTTCAGGTTAGGGATACCCCGGGTAGCAGAGTATAATTGATTTAAAAGCACTACACTTGCTTTTGTAATTCTGTTCTTTGAAAAAGGGACGGGGCAGGTTTTAAGCACCTACTCCTACCCTGCTTACAGCTCAGCATGTATCATACAAATTCCGTGCCAGCCATTAGAGGAGTAAATCCAGGTGGCAGAAAAATGACCTGAATGCCTCCTAGTTGCACCAGTCACTGCCGTGCTGCAGTGCCAACAGGCTCTGTTTGCTCTCCTCATTCCTTCTCTTCTCCCTTTTCTATAGCTTGCTGAGAAACCTGACCCTGGTGACAGATGCCCCTGAGCTGGCCTACCCTTCTCAGGCTTTCATTTGGAAAAGATTTGAAGAAATCTTTCTCATTGCCTCTGGACTTATCTGCTATGCACCTGTGTTCAAGGCCTATTTCTACCAGGGGCTGCTGGAGCTCTATGAAGATAACATACAGTATGTTGAGATAAGAGCTATCCTGCCTGCGGTACGTGGGGTTTGGCTTCTCTAGTAGTCTTTTAAATCCTTATTTCTCCACAGCTTTTCTCAAGCCCTATCTTGAATTTAGTTTTTGGATGTTTGCATACCTGCCCTTCTAAGGATGCTGGAAAGCCTTGATCATATTCAAACATCTGTCTTGGAGATTTGCGTAGGCAAGGGCTTGAAAGTGAGAGATTCTTTGTTCTTAATGGCTAAGAATGAGAAATTCTTTGCTCTTAATGTCACCTTCTGTGACATAGGCACAAAACTACATTGTACAGTCAGACTGGGAGCTGGGTCAAAATCTTGCTCATTGGGAAGATGTAGCTCAGTTTTGTCTGCACCAGAATCCCCTGTTCTGTGGCAGCTACTCTGAACAAATTTCCTGTCTTGGACAGAGACTTAGTCTGCAATAGTTATGTTATTTTAAATCCTCAGCTTATTTTAGAACGATTACTCTGAATAGGTGAGTCAATCAATTGGCAAAACACAACCTCCCACAATTTGCAGACAACTCAAAATTTGAGCTATGTGTATGAAGTATGAACTGCTCCTTTCAATGCCATTAACACCAAAATCTGGAAATTATTCAGGCCTTTCATGCAGAGCTGGTCTGGTTGTCCTCCAAGCCCACTCTGCCCTAATGCCTCCCCAAGCACCAGCAGACCACACCACCCTAAGTGTTCCCAATTTCCCAGTGACAATTTTGTCACTGCTGACACACCTTTCCCATGCAATTCTCCAGCCCAGCTCCATGGAGGACTCTGTGGGGCAGAGAGTTCTGTCAGTCTCTGAGAGGAGAAGGACGCATTGCAAAGGGGGAGAAAAAAAAAGGACATGGAGAAGTCCACAAAGTTAACATGAGTCTTACTTGGGGGTTGCCATAAGCCAGTTGCCCTGAATTCAGCCACCACCTGTCTTTGGGGAACCTGGAAAGAGAAAAAATAACAGCAATGTCAAGATGCCTGTGCTGTGAGGCAGCGTCCCCCAAGGCCACACAGGTTTCCAGGCCAAGAGTATCTGCCACGATACAAGTGCGTGGGCCTGACTGGAAAATACCCTGCCTTTACCATCAGCCCTTAGACACGGTTGTAAGTCCTTTTGAAGAGAGGCTTGGCAGGGAGGATTTGCTTCCCATCCAGCTCCTGATGCTGGCAGCAGCCGTGGGAGCCTGCAGAGCCCTGGGGCTCGCCCGCAACCAGCAGCTGTGAGCTCCAATGCTGTGAGCCCCACTGCTATGAGCTCCAATGCTGTGAGCTCCAGAGCTTTGAGCTCTAATGCTGTCAGCTCCAGAGCTGTGAGCTCCAGGGCTGCAAGCTCTAGAGCTTTGAGCTCCAATGCTGTGAGCTCCAATGCTGTGAGCCCCAGTGCTGTGAGCTCCAGGGCTTTGAGCTCCAATGCTGTGAGCTCTAATGCTGTCAGCTCCAATGCTGTGAGCTCCAGAGCAGTGAGCTCCAGGGCTGTAGGCTCCAGGCAGGCTGCCTGCAGCCCAGGTACCATTTCAGGGAATTCCAGGAGCCGTGGCCACGCCGGGATGGAAGGCAGAGGAGGCAGCAAAGGGACAGCTGAAGCTGGGGTGAGAGGGCAGGGAAATGCTTCATGGGGAAAGCCAAGGTGAGCAGGGTGTGACTGGAATAGCAAGATGCTCGTGTGGCTGGAGATCCTCCACAAGGCTCCACGGCAGCGCTGAGGCTGCAAAAGCTTTCCTTGCAGCAAAGCCTGCCAGAAGCGGCCCCGAGGTAAAGTAAATGAAACTGGGATTTAGTGTGAAACGGCAAACACTGTGGAAAAGCCCCCTAAGCCCAGCTGTGTTTGCAGATTCAGCTGTGTAAAGTCTCACATTCCCATGGGCTGCAGCTGGGGAAAATTCCCTCTGAGCATCTGCGGCTGCCCCACGGCTGCTGGTGCCTGCAAGGGGGACACTGGATTGTGACGGGGTGTGGGGCTTTGCAGGGGCATCCCTGCAAGGGACAGCACCAGAGAGGAAGTTAGGGGATGAAGTGGAGTAGTGGAAGGCTGGAGGAGAAAGGTGACAGAGAAAAGGATGGTGAGAAGGGCGAGGGGAGAACTGATGGAGTCAGCTGCTGTCTGTGAGCTACTCCAGGCAGGGCCTTTGTGGGTTAGTATCAATTCAGGGTGTCCACCCCTGCTGAAATCAGGGCAAAAGCCCTGAGAACAGCCCTGGCAGAGAGGAACATCCAGAAAAAGTTGATGAGACAGAGCAAAAGGGTTATTTTTCCCAGTTTGCAGCCAAAGACCTAGGAAAGCATGGCAAGACTAAATGACTGACTCAAGGTCATGAAGCAAAGCTCTGGCAGAGAGGAGCAGGAGCCCAGCTCAGCTGGTAGCTTATGGAGCTCAGCCATCGCGTGCCTTGGGGCTGACAGATTGCCACTGCAAGGCACAGAGCATGTGTGAGCTGCAGACAGCTGGACAAAACACTGCAGTGCTGGATACACACAGGAGTAAGAGGTCACGGTCTCCTCGGGGTTCTCAAGGACATTTTCTTGCCACATCTGAACACGGAGAAACTTGTATCACATAGGAGGGGGGACACCCATTCCTTGGTTCTTGCCAGCTAGTAAAGGCTTGAAGAAGGAAATGCCCTGCACAGATTTTACCGCTTTTGTTTTCCTGCCCTGCTCTCAGGACCACAGCACTCTGCTTCTCCCAAGGTTTTTGTCACTTCCTTTCTCCCACCTTCCAGTAAAACACCTCTTCTAACTACTGCTTGTCACGTGCTTTTCACGCTGCAGGTGTATGAGCTGGATGGCACCAAGCACAATAAGTCATGGTCTGTGGCAGCCTACCGGGAAGTGACCAGGCAGTTCGTGAAGGAGCACCCAGACTTTGTTGGAGCCAAGGTTATATTTGCAGCACACAGGTAGAGGCTGAGCAGGGCTGAGAGCGGCTGTGCCGTGTCAGGGGTGGGCAGAGGGCCGGGAGAGGCAGTGCTGGGCTGGAGTGCTAAAGTTGGTTTGCAATGTCCAATATGCATCATTGGAGCTGGCGTGCTGACTCCTGAGACATTCCCTGGCATGTGTGAAAGGCTGAGGGTGAGAATTCATCCACATGAGTCTGCCTACGTGCGAGGCGAGCACCAGGGGAGCGTCTGTGAGCCCTGGGAGTGGGAATGAGCCCGGGCAGGGCTGCCTGTGTGCATGTCCAAGCCATGCCTGCTCTCCTCCCGAGCCTGGATGCACTCCCTGCCCTGCAGACACTGAAACAGTGACAGCAGTGCCCGAGGATGGGCACTTGGTGTGGCAGAGGTGCCCGTGGCACCCGGCACACGCCGCTCCCCGCAGCCTGTGTACGGTATGTCCACACAAGGCTGCCCTCCAAGGCAGCCAGATGCCATGAAGTCATGTGAGGTGATCCTCAGCAGGCAGAACAGACCTCTCAGCAGCACTGGCTCGCTCTGGTTTGGCACAATGCCCTCTCCAGCTCAGAGCTGGCTTGTCTCTCTGGCCAGCTTGAGTATGGACGCAGTCTGCAAAATGCACCAAGAAGTTTAAGTCAGATAGGGCTGGAGGAAACCTAAATGCAAAACTGTCTTGAAATGCAGTTACTGCCTCACCTCCCAACAAAACAGTCGGGAGGAAAGAAAAAAAATTAAACATTTTCTTTCCACATTGTTGTGTTCCCTTCCCTGCTTGGTAAATGGGAAAGCCAGTGAGTTAGACAAGCATGCCTCAACTCAAGTGACAGCAGGGTCTAGCCAGGCATTTCCTGGTCATTCATGGGTTTCGTTTCATAATATCAATTTTCTACTGCTGTTCCTCTAGAGACCTGAAGCTGGTTGTCAGATTCAAGAGCATCTTGCATTTTGGAAGAACCCCTGGGGCCCCCATTTCACAACTCAAACCCTGAGAAGGCAGGCCCACGGGAGCCAGCTCCCGCAGCGCTTTCTCTCTCTTGCTCTCTAGGATGCTGAATGTCTCCCAGATTAAAGAAGCCATCATCACTGCCATGGCACTCAGAGCCCGCTTCCCAGACACCCTGGCAGGCTTCGACCTGGTAACTGTGTTTCTTCTGGGGCTTCACATTGACCCCTGCTGATATAACCACATATATACCCTGGCATATGTTGTATACCAGAGCCAGAACCTCTGCTGCTGTACTGAAATCAGTGTTAATGAATTGCAAATCCTCCAGCTAAGGATTTTGTTCAGGGTAATTGACAAAATCCCCTGAAAGAATCGGCTCCCCACCCCACAGCATTGTCATTTCAGCACAGCTGGCACCTCATTTATACAGAGCTGTGAGTCCCACCATCTTCCCAAGCGTGCTCAAAAATACCTTTCTGCTTTCCCCAGGTTGGAGATGAGGACAAAGGTCATTCTTTATGGGACCTGAAGGATGCCCTGACCATCCCATATTCCATGGGGGTCAACTTGCCGTTCTTTTTCCACGCTGGGGAGACTGGTGAGCATGAGGACTCAAGGCTTGTTACTGCTTGCAGAGGCAAGACTGAAACCTTGCAAAGAGCAGAAGCAGCAAGCCTGGCTCGCTTGCTGGCTGTGTCAAGAGGATGTGTGTGCACACACGTGCACATAACCAGTTTCCCCTCTGCTTCTCCCCATATCAGCTTGGGGCTGTGGCATTCCCACATGACCCCTCCCTGCTCTGGGCTGTAGGTGTCACATTGCTCAGCATCTTTGAGCTGGTGTAGGAGTTATTGCTGGAAGCCATTTCCCCCTTGGAGCAGCACTCACTTCCTACCCACAGCAGCAGCAGAGTCCCCCAGCCATCATTTTACAATTTAAGGTGAAATAATGTTTGAGCCAGACTTGAGTCTTAACAGAACAGGCTCATCAAAGTAAGTGATGTACCTTCATTCCTGGGCCAATGTATTATTATTGGCAATGTATTATTCAGTCTGCATTGGTGGGATTTATCCCAACCAGGGGAGTCTGTCTAACCTGTGCCTTGTGTGTTGCATGTTGACATCAACAGAAAACGTCTGGTTACCCTGGGCTCCCTTTATAGCCACAAGCCCTTCTAAGCCACAACACATCTCATTCTAATGCACAGGCTACTCCCCAATAATTGTTACTTCTCTCCATTGACAAGTAATGAGTCCAGCATAATTAACTCAGCTGCAAGAGCAATACTGTAAACATCTAAAGCCAGGTGAGATGAGTGGGTATCTATGCTGGGCAATATCCTGGGCAGATTTAGATCCCTGTTTCACTGAAAATGCAAGTGGAAACTCTGAGCATGAGCAACCCTCTCACCTCACAGCTGGGACATCTATTAACAAAATCATCTGGCAGTCTGAGAAGCTTTATTTCCTCACAGCACTGCAGTGACTCTTGTCTGTCTCTGCTCAGACTGGCAGGGCACCTCTGTAGACAATAACGTGCTGGATGCATTGCTACTGAATACCAGCAGGATTGGCCATGGACTTGCTCTCATTAAACACCCAGTAGCCAAAAATTTGTCTCTGAAGAGGGATGTTCCTGTAGAAGTCTGTCCCATCTCCAACCAGGTATGTTGTTATGTGGCTGGGTCATTGCAGAGGGGTTCACCATCGCTGTGAGGGTCAGCTGGGGGGCACCTACAAGTTTGGATGCACACAGGCTGGCTTAGTTTCCTTTGCAGCACCTTACACTGCAGTTTGCTATGCAGGTGTACACTTTGAATATATATAAAGTTTGTAGTGCCAGTCAGAAAAAAAAAAAAAAAAAAAAAATCACTCCCTATCCAGAGGAACCTGGGAAGGCAGTCCTCCCTAGTGGAGATGAGGCCCAGAGACACAGAGGTGCCTGAAGAGACATAATTTCATAAAAATTGAAAATACCTCAAAACCAGGAGGGCCACAGGCTGAGAAGCTGGGATTGTAACTGGAAGTCCTGGGTTTTGCAGAATTCATAATCAGTGGGAACTCTTTTGCAGCACATTAGAGTGGTGCCATTGTCCCCTGGATGCAGCAAAAAGGATACTTTGGGTGGAGATTTACTGGTGTGAGCCTTAAGGGGGAGAACCCTGAGCTCCAGACACCTCAAGCTAAGCACCAGAGCAAATGTGTAACCAAAAAACTGTTCCTGAATTGCTCACAGTCAAATTGTTCTAAATAAGCACAAGTTATTCACCCCACTGGACTTGATTAAATAAGAAATTAATCTCCTTGTACAGTCAGTGGAGACAAGCTGCTTCCTCCTGCAGCAGTTCAGAGCAGAAAACATTGTGAACAGTCCTCTGGAGCCTGTCCCTCCCTGACCCCTACCTGCTGTCACAGGCAGGTGTCAGTGTGGCACAGCTGCAGCAACAACCTGCTGAGGTGCTGTCTCCCACTCTTCCCTACCCAGGTCCTGATGCTGGTGGCTGACTTGAGGAGTCACCCTGCAGCTGACCTCATGGCTGAAGGGCACCCCATAGTGATCAGCCCCGATGATCCCCCCATCTTTGGGGCAAAGGGAGTCTCTTATGACTTCTATGAGGTGTTCATGGCCATCGGAGGGATGAATGCTGACCTGAGGACCCTAAAACAGCTTGCACTCAACTCCATAAAGTAAGTTCATCACCTCTTACCTTGTTATAGCAATCATAAGGAGACTATCAGCTTTTCCCCTTTGCTTGCATTTGGGTTTTGGCCTCCTCTGCCACAGGAGCTGGTCTTCTGTAAGCTTGCACTCAACTCCATAAAGTAAGTTCATCACCTCTTACCTTGTTATAGCAATCATAAGGAGACTACCAGCTTTCCCCCTTTGCTTGCATTTGGGTTTTGGCCCCAGAGTCTCCTCTGCCACAGGAGCTGGTCTTCTATCAATCCAAAATCTCCTCTGTGTGTCTCATCCAAAGGCAGGACACAGGGAGCCCAGAGGCTCCTCTGCCTGCGTTCTCAAGTGCCTTGCTCTGACTCCATGCCGCAGTGTATTCCTCTTTTTCCATTCTTTTTGCCTCCACCACCTGTTTCTGGGTTTGTGAGAAATTGTATGTCTTTGTATCACTTGTCTATTTCTGCCAGAATTTGACCTGCTGCAGTGTTTGCCATGACTCATCTGGGAAACACAGGAAAACAATTAGCATTTTGTTTGAGTGTGTTTAACCCTTTTTCTATTAACTGGACAGTTCTGAATGTCCAAAAATAGTTTGGATGTGAAGCCCAGGGTCTTCCTGCACTTTCCTCAGCTCCTGCTTGTTTTACACCATGTCACTCTGTGTGGTGCAGGCATGTCCTGCAAGGGTTAATCTCTTGCTGCCTCCTGCCTTTTCATTTCAGTGCTGCTCTTGAAATAGCTGCCCCCTTGTCTCCTGCCTGACACTGACTTTCCTCCTCCTCACAGATACAGTGCCATGCTACCCGATGAGAAAGCCAAGGCCAAAGAGTTCTGGCAGAAAAAATGGGACCAATTTGTGGCTGACCTCTCTGATAGCTTTCTAAGGGAGCTGTAGAGAGGACAAGGCTCATCTCAGAAGGCATTTGGCAAGCTAGAGTGAGCCAGACTGATTGCTAAGAGGGAGAATGCTTCTTCCATGTGACCTGAGCAGATGAATGGACGTCAAAGTCTCACCTGGCAGCGGGCGGCTCTGCTAAGCCAGGCTTAATGGGCTTAAAGCTAAGAAGGAGCTGCACTATCCTGTGAAACTCATGGGCTGGAGGTAAAAGGCAGCAGTGAGCCTTTAGAGCAACCACAAGAAATCAGCCTGCTCTCAAAAGAGTCAAAACAATTAAAAGCTGCCAATGACCAAATCCCCACATCCTTATTCAGGAAAAACATGCTTTCCAATTAGAGTCAGCAGGAGATTGCCAACACGAGGATCTCTGAATTTTGCCTTATCATTACAAAATGCAGACCTTGTCCGGAAGCAGCTAAGACAAACATCCAACCATTTGGGCCACTGACCTTCAAGAGAGCAAGGACTGAAAATGACTCTTGTTATGTTTAACCCTGGGCCTGCTGCCAAAATAGCACTGCTAGGTCGAAGAACCAGTCATAGGTCTGATGTCTGCTATTTCAGGACCTACCATGGCTGGAAACAAGCTGGTGGAACTTGCTCCCAGAACATTTAAGCCTGGTTGCACAGTGATCATAAAGCCAGAATAGAGGTGCCTCAGTTGCCAGCAGTTTTTTTTACTACAAAGTCTTTTCCTGTCCTCTGGTCAAAAGGAAGACAAAACACATTTCAGGTTAAGTCCAAAACATCCTGGCTTCCCAGACCCAGCTTGACTAAAACTATCCCCCTGCACAAGGCTATGTTAACACAGACATTTATAGGAAACACCTTTTGGTTTCAGGGAGTTCCACTACCAGCCTTTGTTGCTGTACACATCGCGCAAATGCGGCCTTATTCAGCCTGTCAGAGGGATTTTCACCTTGGCAGAGAACTGCTGTGGATATCCACAGAGCTCCTTTGGACCTCTGTGGTTTCCAGCTCTTTGGCAAAAAAAAAAAAAAACCTACACAAGAAATAGTCTCTTGCAAAGCTGATTCCCTGTCTTAACATCATCAAAAATATCAGGAGGAGAACTAGTTTCAGGGAGACAAAAAAACAAGCCAGAAAAAATAAATCTTAACCAGGTTGCTAAATAAATTCAGAAAAAATCCTTCAGCACACGTGTGCCAAGCATGCAGCCAGGATCAAAGAGCATCATTCCCTGACTTCAGTACAATCATGCTGCTTTGCATCAGTCAAGGGAGAATTGACAAAAATTCCTACTGAAAGCCATCTCCCTCCTCTGAACCACAGACTTACAAAGGCTGTTCCTAATCTGACCAGCCTGGGCCAATTGGCTCTCTTTATGCTTTCTGTTAATTGTCTCAAGCAGCTTGGCTATGGTGTTTATTTCCAGTGACCTTGGCTGGAACACCTTAGCAGGAGGCAAACACACTTATTACAGAAGTGGATCAAGCTGCACAGCCCATGTGCCCTGTGTTAAATTGCCCACAGTTCACAGGCTGCAACTTCATCCCAGAGAAAATAAAAACCATCTAAACCACACACGCTACAAACCCCATCACAGAACGCAAATAAAATCACAACAGACCAGAAGTGTGTGCATTGCAGAAGGCAGCAACAGAAATGAAAATGTGAGAACCCAGTCACACCCCTCACTAGCTGGGGGGGTTAAGTGCCTTACACCCCCAACCCTTTTCAGCCACAGCTACCTCTACTCCAGATCTCTCTGCCCACACCCCCAACATTTTCCTCTGAAGCATCCTGATGCTTTCTTTGCAGACTGACCTCTCCTGGGCCTTGATACAGATCTGGTCCTGGGAAGGAGTTTTATACTGGAGGAGTAGCCAGAGCAGAGCCACCCTCCCTCCTCCTGTGTGGGTGTTGCATACAGAGCTCAGACTAAAGTCCCCAGGGCAGGCTTTGGTCATGGCCAGGTTATAAATGCTGACTTGGGAAGTGCTTTACCTGTAATGCTGCTGAGGAGAACCACTGCAAACGAGCAGAATGGCAGCTGACCAGCAACCCAAAGCCCTGTCCCTCTCAGCAGCCTGATCTTTCAGCTTTGCTGTATGTGGATGGATGAAGAGCTGCATTTGCCATGAGCTGATTCTCCCTTAAATAAGCCTCTTTGCTGCCAAGGTGAAGCTAATCATTGCAGAGCCACTGTGGGAGGAGCTGGGCTCCTCCACACACAGGTTGACCCATGCCCCTTCCTGAAAGCAGAAAGCTTTCAGCTTTTCCTGCATGTAGTCTCTTGAGGTCCTGAACCACTTTTTGCTTACCTGTAGTCCTCCTTTCTCCTCATTACCTACAGGAGCTGCAGGGCTAGCTCTTCCATTTGCCAAATGCTTGCTGGAACCAGTTCACCTGTTGTGTCCACTTTGTTCTTGCTTTCCTAGGAAAAACCTGCTGTGCACATGGCCATTTACCTACTTCACAGCTGTGCTGTGATGGGGCCAAGTGCCTGGAGCCACCTGTGTGTGCTGCTGCTCAGGATTAAAGCAGAATCAGGTTTCTGCAAAAATCACAGGGGTTTAAAATAGCACAGGTCTGATGCAGCCCTCAAAAATGTGTGACAGAGGGAGGGCCAGCCTGCCTTACTGCTGGGAATCTGCTCTTCTTTAGAGTGTGTCTTAGTTGGGAGAAAGGTGCAAATTGAGAAGCCCAGGCTGCATCCTCGCCTCTCTAACTCCAGGTGTGCAAAACAGGAGGAATTTAGGCTGGACCACAGCAGTAATAAAAGATCAATTGATTCTGTTCCATTCAAGCTTTGGGTAAATGTGGCTGCAGGGCTTCACTGAGACTTGGCTTTTAGTAGCGAAATTCCAAGGGTTTTGCTACTCCCTTTTGCCCAGTACCTTGGCTCCCTGCTCACATTTGTTGGCAAATACATCACATATAATGCTCTCTTGCTTGTCTCTTTCAGAACATAGTCTATAATTAAATTTTCAAACCTGTCTTAATCATGGAGGATATTTTTCCTTTTTTGGATTTTTTTTTTTGCCTCCCTGTTAAAAAGAAAAGAGGATACCCAGATTTGATGGGGATGTGTCATATCATATCAGGGAGTCTGAAATGCCTTCTCTGCATGCTGCAAAGGGCAGTTTGATCTGGGGAGCTAACACAGAGTTAAGCCTGAGTTACCTGGCCAAGACACTACACAGGTCCCCTGTTCCCCCTTCCCCAAGCCCCACAGTAGCTGCATCCAGCTCAGGGCTGTGTTTTGAGACAGAGGCCACCTGACAGACAGGATTTGCTCATGCTGCTTCTCCTCCCACTACAGTTTTGTACCATCTCTGTGGTGGTTACAGCACAAGAAAGTAAAGGAATGACTGAAGGTCATTTAACCTCCTTTTAGCATGATTTTAGGAAGGGAATAGAGGAGAAGACTAAATGATCAGCCCATTCTTTTCAAAGAAAGCGAATTCTTTTCAAATAATTGCCTTGTGGAGCACCAGGTGACTACAGGGTACAACGTGAGGCTCTTTGCCCAAAGTACTGCTGGTGGGCATGGGAAGAAAGTGCCAGCCTGAGAGAGCTTCAATATCTGAGATGAAAGAGGAGGAGGCAGCCACAAGGGTGGTGGGAGGGAGGCTGAGTAGAGCAAACATAAAGAAGCAAAAAGAGCCTGCTTCAGTCTCCATCCAGACTCAGGAGCAAGGAAGGAGAGTAGAAAATCCGTGGAAGTTTCTACTACAGTTACTTCAAGCAGCCATAGCAATACTTAAAGTCTTATGCCTTTATCTCCCCCATCTGTCACTCCCTGTGGCCTCTTCAGGTTCAATTTGTTTAAATGGGAGGTGGAAGGAGCTTTGTTTGCGGCTCAAGTGTTTGCTGCAGAGCATCTTAGACTGCCTTTGGGGCAATTTAGAGGATGAAATGTTTGCCTCCTGGTCACTGCCTGCCAGGAAATGGCTGATCCAGCACTAGTGGTTGCTGTTGAAAGTCATGCCAATAAAAACAGAGGAGCAAAGTGAGTGGTTGAAAACAGAGATAGGCCCAAGCAAGCAGCTGGATCTATCTGTCATGTGAGCCTCCATCACTGCAGTGGGACTATGCAGGTGCCAGATGCTAAGCAAAGCCCTCTGGCCATAAAACACAGGGCTGCAGATGCGTTTTCCACCAGCTCCAAATGATCAGCCTGCTTCAGGTTTTCTTCCTATGTAAGTCTCTGAATTAACCTCTTCACAGGTAGCAGAAGGACATTTCTTTGGTCAGAAACCTGTAGCTCTATTTGGCTCAGTCGTTAATTCCTTTCTTTCCCAGGCTTGCAGCAGTTGCAATCACAGCAGGTCTATCAAGTGTTTTCTGTGCACTGAGGGACAGGCAGGTGAAGGGTCTGGCTCTCAATTCTCCTGGTTTGTCATTTTTATCAGGTTGTGTCCTCCCCCTTGGTCATTACAGGATAAGAAAGGCATTTTACTGTATTTTCTCAACCTTTAGCTTGTCCATCATTCCACGAGCAGGCTGCAGCATGGGGACAGCAGAGATAAACTGTGGGGGGAGGGTTGGTTTAGGCCATTAGAGCCTCTGCAGTGAGGAAAGAGATGGAAGGTAGGGCTGCATTCGAGGGGGGTGTGAGAAGGTCAGGAAGAGGGGGGTGATGACAGCGCTGTGAGTCCAGGGAAAACAGAGCTGCAAAGTTTACACAGGGACCCACGGGAGGAGGCTGTGGGCAACTGCCTGCTTTGCTTGTCTTTACAGTGAGATGTGAAAGGGGGTGGGAGACATCCAGGGGTGGTGTGAGAAGGGCAGACAGACCATCCCTAGGGGTGTTTGGGGTACGGCTGTTACCAGATGTGCCTGACGAGGAAATCACGAGGTCCGTCCATGTACAGCGTGCGGAATGGGCAGCTCCAAGCAGACATATTCCCAGTGCTTGGAGGGAAAAAGACACAACGAGCGTTCAGCACAGGGATGATGGGCTAAAGCCTGCCTGCGGGTGCTGGGAAGGGCTGGGGCTCAGCCCTGCTGCTGACAGTCCCAGGCTCAGCCTGTGCCCGCCCGCTGGCAAAGTCCCCCCGTGTCGCCTTAAAAATAAGCGCTCCAGCCTGTTGGACAGCCTTCCCTGGAAAAATAAACACGGCAGCGCTGGCAGCCCGCAGGGACAAAGCACACGCACACTTTGGGGACACCTCTCCGAGGGCGGGGACCCCCAGAGTCCCCTCGGGAGCAGGACAAGGCGTTCCCTTGCCTGCCTCCGGCCTGCCTCCCGCATCCCCCGTGCCCGGAGCCCCCCGGGCCGGTGAGCGCTGCGGGCTCCCGTGCCGTGGAGCAGGAGCGCCTCCCGCGGGGATGCGCCGGGATAACAACCCGCACCGGCGGGAGAAAACCCTGCTCCTAAAACCACACCCCCAAAAACCACACCCCCCTACAACCCCACCCCCAAAACACCCAGCCCCAAAACCCTCACCTCCAAAAACCCCACCCCTAAAATCCTCACCCCCTAAAACCCCATCCCCAAAACCCTCACCCCCCAAAACCCCCGCCCCAAAACCCCACCGTCCCCTCTTTCCCCCCACTGTAACTCCTGGATATTTAATACACTAAATTTTATTTTTTCTTTTTTTAGCAATGAAATCTCTGTGATAGGGAACAGGCTGGATGTCTCTCCCAGCTCTTTTTCATGCCTCGGGAACGGGAAGGAAGGGGGAAAAGTATCCCTACACTTAAAATAGAAGGGACTGAGAGACCCCCTCAATGCAGTTCAGTCTAGAGGCACCGAAACCAGCAAGCAAAACAACCCAACCCATCCAGCTTGCTGTATCATTAAAAGGCCATAAATCCACGTTAGCAAATACCCTAAGCAGAAATCACAGCAAATCAATCACATTTTCACTGCGCCAGGAGGGACTGCCTTGGTGGACGGGTGAGAAGCACTCGAGACAAGGCTCCTGTGTTTGTCATTAATTTCAGAAAGTCTCTGCTTCTCTCTCTGACTATTTTTCACTGACAGGGAAGGCTGTGTTTGTCATTAATTTCAGAAAGTCTCTGCCTCTCTATTTTTCACTGACAGGGAAGGTGAGGGTTGGGAATCTCTGGTCTGTACATAGTTGAGAAGGCACACTCCAGAGCAGCTGTAGTGTGCTGATGGAAGAAGGTTTGAAGCCCAGTTCTTCACGGAGCTAAATATTTTCAGTAATGTCTACAAGGCCAGCATAAATTTCGCCAGAGCAGGATGAACTGCAAACACTTCTGAGAAATTAAAGTGATCCTGGCAAATTGAGGAAATTACGAAAAATAAACGGTAGGTAATTCGGTTAAGGCAAAAAGCACTTAAGGAGGAATAACCATCTGTACAAATGTATACCTCTGAATTGCCAGTGCTTTAATAGCTCTGCAAATAGGGCTCTGGGTGTTAAAGTGGGTCAAAAACAAATTAAGGTTGGTGTTCATGGCAATGGAAGCGTAAAAACAAACAATTGCACTGTGTAATTGATGCCTAAAGTCATACGTGTTAAACCTGCCCTGTCGAGCGACTCAGGCGATCCTAGGCCCAGTCAGAAAGCAAACAAACATTGTTTCATCTCCCTGGATGTGAAATGAACCTTTTACTTTCCCCAGCTTTGGAAGGGCCTCAGCTGAATTCAGCACCAAGATTTCTGTTTCAGGCTGCAGGAAAGGGGGATGCACTCTGTCAAAGAGTAAAAAAAGTTATGAGAGTTTTAGAAAACCTTATTTATCTGCAGGAAAAAAGGTTTGCATAGAAAAGGCTGAGCAAAGGCAGGGCAGCAACTCACGGAGTTCTTAAAGTTGGAAAAGACCTGCAAGGCCATCAAGTCCAACCAGACCATGGCAGCAAGTGCCACATCCAGTCATTTCCTGAACACCTCCAGGGATGCTGATTCCACAGCTTCCCTGGGCAGTCTGCTCCCATGCCTGACCACACTTTCAGTGAAGAAATTCTTCCTGACGTCCAGCCTGGCACACCTTGAGCCTATGTCCTCTTGCCTGGGAGCAGAGCCCGACCCGCACCTGGCTGCAGCCTCTGTCAGGGACTCACAGAGAGCCACAAGGTCTCTGTTCCAGCCCCAGCTCCCTCAGTACCCCTCACAGCACCCTTGTCTGGAGTTGCTCCACACCTCAATTTGTTGTAGGGAAGGGCCCACAGCTGCCCCCTCATCACGAAGCCCTGGAGCAGCCCCGCTCACAGATCGAGTCTCCCGTTCTCTGGCTTTGTGAAGGGCCGACACAAACCCCTTGTGACGGCGCCGTAGCGCCCAAAGCTTTTCCCTCCCTCTTCCCAAACCTCTCCTCGCCGGTGATTTTGCACGCCTCTACCGTGGCAGGGCTGCTTGCGGCCCTTTCCGCTGCTTCCGACAGCCGCTCCCCTGCCCAGCTCTCCCCACAGCCCCTGTGGGCAGGGGCAGCGCCGCTCCCCGGCAGCACCGCTGTGGGCGGGCGGGCAGGAGCCGCTCTCGGCAGCGGCAGGCCGGCAGCGCCGGGCGCGGGGCGGGCGGGGAGGCTCCCGGCTCACCGTGCCCTGCGCTCGCCTTGCAGCCGCCGGCCTTCGGGTTCCTGTTCGATGTGGACGGCGTGCTGGTGCGCGGCAGCCAGCCCGTGCCCGCCGCCCGCCGCGCCTTCCAGAGGCTGGCGGACGGCGGCGGGCGAATGCGGGTGCCCGTCGCGTTCCTGACCAACGCCGGGAACTGCCTGCGGTCGGCCAAGGCCCGAGAGCTGTCCCAGGCGCTGGGGCTGCAGGTAACGGTGGCGGGGCGGCGGGGGCAGCGGCCGGAGGGAGCCCGAGCGAGGGAAGCTCGGCGAGGGCCCGGCCTGAGGGGCTGGAGGGGCAGCGGTGCCCCCGAGCGCCGCGAGGAGGGGGCGAAATCCAGCCTGCGGGTCCCAGCCGGGCTCTGCTCCGTGCCGCAGGTGTCTCCGGAGCAGGTGATCCTGTCGCACAGCCCCCTGCAGCTCTTCAGGCAGTTCCACCAGAGGTGCATGCTGGTGGCCGGGCAGGGGCCCCTGGAGGAGAACGCCCACAAGTATCCTTTGTGCCTCGTGGTGCTGTGAGTCCTGCTGCTCCTGCCCTAGCCCTGCCCCTGGCGCTCCTTGCTCGGCTTCTGAAGCACAAGGAGACACAGAGGTCACCGGGCTTGCCTTGTGGGGCAGCGTCCTCGTGGGCAGGCTCAGGTGCTGATCTCTGGGTTGGTCGCTCCCTGGCTGCCCTGGTCAGTGTTTGGCTTCTCATCTCACGACTTCTCCTGGCATTGCTGATCTGTTGGTGGGATGTGACCAGGAGGACTCCATCAGCTTTAGGTGTCCCATTTTTGAGATAAAGTTGTGCTCTTTCGTGGCAAAGCCCGTTACAGATCATAAGGTTTTCCCAGAAAATTACAGCAGTTCAAGAAACTCAAATATGATGGGGCTTTGAGCAGCCTGGTCTTTGTCTGGCTGAAGGCCATGAGGTTATGCTTTACCACACTGCTCCGTTACTAGGACTTGCATTCCTTAATCCTATAGATGCTTCTGCAAGTAATGTGAAGAAAATCGGTCTCTTAAAAAAAACAAACAACAAAACAATCCAAACAAACCATTCTGCACAACATTCCTTGATGGTCTGAACTAGCCTGGGGTTCAAGAACGTGGTCACCATAGAGGCCCTGAGGAAGGCATATCCCCTGTTAGACATGGTGGACCTGAGCCGGCGGCCGAAAGAACTGGTAATTTCCTGAAGCATCAGCAGAAGGGGAGGATATCTGCTGCAGAGGTGGTCACAGCACACAGCAAAGGGACAGGGCAGCTGTCAGTGAGGTCCCTCAGCAGGAGCCTGGCACTGACGCTGAGCAGGCAGCCCCTCTGCTCTTCCCAGTGTTGGCTCCTGCAGGAAGGGCAGTGACTCCCCTCTCCTTTCTCATGCCATGCCTGCCTTCCATTGCTGTCCCTTACAGTGAGGGGTGAGATGGTTTGGTTGACATCTCCAGCTCTGAGACAGGAGTACAGGATCTGTGAAATCCCATCTGGGATGGGGGAGGGGGGAGAAAAATTCCATCAGGATTCCAGGTGGCTTTGTCCTGCCTTATTATGGAACTGCCTTGGCAGGTTCAGAGGAGGCATTTTTAGTTGTGGAGATGGCATTGGGTTTTGCATTACTAATCCAGCCTTCCTTTTCTTCTGGCAGCCTCCTCCCACCACTGGCTTCCCCACTATAGAAGGTAAGCAGTGGCCTGTGTTTACATATGAGCAGCAAGCAGAGCTGAGAGCAAGGCAGGCCAGCTGGGATGGGAGCTAATGGTGTGCTGTCAGCTCACTGCTGGAAAAAGCTGGATAAAAGCAACTTTTCCCTGTGCTGTGTGCCAGCATCTGGAACCAGGGGTGCACATGGTGCAGAGATGTGCAGACTGGAGCCCTGGCACCAGCCATATGCCACTGTAGCTGCACTTGCCAGGGCAGCCCAGCACAGGAGGGGTTTTGGATGCTGTGAGTTTCCAAACAGCTCTCAAAATCTTGCAGGGGTGATTCTGTTTGGCGAGCCAGTGAGGTGGGAGACGAGCCTGCAACTCATTGCTGATGTACTCCTGAGCAATGGGAACCCTGGGGCAGAGCTGCAGGATGTTCCATACCCTCATCTGCCCATCCTTGCCTGCAACATGGACCTCCTGTGGATGGCTGAAGCCAAGATGCCCAGGTGAAAAGCACGTGTGGTATTTGGTTTGGCCAATGTCATGCTCCTCTCGTGCAGATGGTCTTTTCCTGCTGTGGTTTTTTAGCACTTGAATGTTTCAAGAGCTTGATTGTACGATGTAATTAGCAGCAGAGACATGAAAGCTGCATGAGAAATAAAGACTAAAACCTGGGGAGCAGCAAAAGCCAGACCACTGTCTGTGGAGGTGTGTGGGCACCATACCCAAAGCAGGCAATAACCAAGGAGTGCTTGCTGCTTCAGTGGTGTTGCTGGGGATGCTGATGACCTCCTTTCTGGGGCAGGTTTGGCCATGGCACTTTCCTCCTCTGCTTGGAGAGCATCTACAAGAAGGTGACAGGCAAGGAGCTGAAGTATGAGGCCTTGATTGGCAAACCCAGCCCCATCACCTACCGCTATGCCCAGTACTTGATCCAACAGCAGGCAGAGAAGCAGGGCTGGAAGGCTCCCATCCGACGCCTCTATGCAGTTGGGTAAGAGATTCTTTCCTGCTGGTTTCCTTAGGGAGTTGCAAACTGACTGCTCTTTAGTGGTGGTGGGTTGTTTGGGTTTTTTGT